AGGCGCCAAGCGAATCCTAGAACTGGCGAGTGATGGGCTCTCACATCAGGGCGATATCATATCCTTGATATTTGAGATTTTTGAACGGAACCTTCCACTTGTTGGCTCAAGAACAGGCTTGGATTCTGTACTAGAGAGCACGATTGCCTGTTTGCGCTTCATTCACGCCCTGTTAGAGGTTCTCCCGGGCAGAGTCTGGCCATTCCTCTCCCGTAGTGGCTTGCTTGGCACCGATGGAAAAGGTGGCGTTATGACGACCATCATATCTGCTGCGGAGGTAACATCGGGAAACTACCCTTTTCTGTTGGCCTGTGTACGGTTGTTCGATGCAGTTGTCGACGACGCAGCCTCTCGCGCCGTCTTGAGACGGAATCCCAATGGCGTCAACGGAAAGACGATGAATGCTGCAGACTGGACCGCGGGCGTTCCTTCACATATGATGCGCGGCATTCTACTTAACTTTGTGCGGACAATGGTCGACGCCTACAACAGTAATGGAAACTGGAGATTCAATGCCATCGAGCAAAGGTTTGCGGTAAACACCTCGCTTGCCAGGACATTCGAACGTATCCTCTATTACGCATACGGAACAAATGAGGATGAGAAACCGGACTCGAAGGCTACTGGTGTCTTCTCATCCTCCGCAACATTCTTGCTGGAGGTGATGCGTCCTGAGTCGACTGCTGAGCTGCCATTCAACTGCATCATACGCCTGATTCTCGATGGTTTACAAACTCCGTCTACTCTATACCTTCGTTACCTGGCGCTCGCTCAGAAGCAGGTGCTAGCGACATTAGACCTTTCCCTCAGGCTGTTGCAGGCAGCACGGTGCCTGAATCTTCCCCCGTCGCTTCTCGAAGAGCAGCTTTTCAAAGCTACCCCTGCTCTGGTGAAATTGTATGCTTTGGATGATGCCTATCGTTTTCCTATTATCTCCATCTTGGAGATCCTCATCGCGGGTGCCGCTTCGGATCCCGCCAAAGAGCCACCATCCCTGGTCGGTCACCTTGGTCCTGAATCCGCCTGCCTCTTTCTCGATATCCTATCCCAATTCGATAAACCCCTCCATGATCAACGCCTCCATTTGGCGATCTGGCAATTCCTGTCTACCATCATAAGCAAGCGTCAGCCATGGCTTGCTGTTTACATACTAACGGGGACGTCGCCGCGTCAATCGTTGAAGAAGGATGACAAGCAGAAGGAGATCTCTATGAGAGGAGCCCCTTTCTTGCAGATTGCTCTTGACACTCTTGCGAAGATAGAGCAGACTGACCTTCAAATAGCACTTTCGCTACTGGCATTTGTTTCTCATGCGCAGGAGAATTGGCCATGGGCGACACCCGAGCTCAAGAAACACCCACAATTCTTCACCAGCATTGTCAATTATGTCTCGAAGCTGAAGATCTCGTCTCTGTCAGCGATCGACCAGGTTTTCGCTACTCGGATAGCGGCCGTGGTCGCGGATCTCTGCGGCGTGTATCTGCATGCGGCGAAGGACATGCAAGATAAGGGCTTTTATAAGACCATGATTCCCCTTGTATCCTGGTTCTCCAAAGATGCGGTGGACGTATCTGCGTACAACGTCTCGCTACATGCGAATCTCAAGAAGAACTTTGAAATGAGATACCCAGGGTGCAAACTCGCCGACTTCAAGAGGTCTCCGCTGCAAACCCGGTCTCTGGGACCAGCTTACTTTTATGATGTCGACTTAGGCCAGAAGCTTCTCTCATACGACTTTGCGTGGACAGGGACTCGAAACCAAGGGTTTGCCGAGGAGTTCCAGCGCGCCAACCTCAACTTGTCATTGGTTGAGGCGCAAGTGGTTTGTGCTCCTCGAAATTCATGAAGGAAGAAACGTTGCTAACCGGATACCTTTGCAGAGTCTTCTCTACAGCTGGAAGTTCTTCGCCATAGAGCATTGCGAGGACTTCATGGCGGATCGCGAAGTCCAGAAGTCGATGGCCCTGGTCGTACAGAGCTGTCTGGAAGCCAACACCAGAGGCGTTCCTCAGGAGGCCATCTTCGAACGCATACAGCAAACCCGAGCGGAGTTTGCCCAGGCCCTGCTTCAACGCCTGGTCACCGTTGGCGCCAAGGGAGCCGAGGTGTTCGGTCTTCTCAAGGTCGTATGGGATGCATTGCGATCTCGCCGTACTTCTTACGAGGAAGCTATCATCAATGACGACACGGAGTATTACCGCTTGCTGTTGAACGTCCTCTTCCTTGCGCTGCAGTTCCACCTCGATACCCCTGCTCGGGCCGCACCAGAAACTTTGACTAAGAAGGCGGAAGTCTCCTCTGACCTGGGAGTTGTGGTTGAAATTGTCAAGGTTGTTGTTGCGCAAGGCTTCAAGTCCTTAGTGACTTATCTTCACGAGCAACCCGAGAAATGTACGCCCAAGGATTTTGCACTCCTCACCGCGATCTTGCAGAGTGCCTTGCAGGTGAAGAACGTCGATCGCTCGTTCGAGCACATCGTCTACCACATTGCCGACAACGACACAGCACGACTCGCAACATCGTTGTTCTCATGGGCTGATCAGCGGACCGTGGCTGGCGACCCTGTGTACGGCGAGCTGAGCATGTCCTTGCTGGTCAAATTGTCCACCATCCCCATGCTAGCCGAGCATCTAGCCGTTGAGACGGTCCTCGCACGGATCTCCACGAGCCGACTCTCGACCTTCATGCGCCAGAGCAAGGGATTCGGACCATTCGACCCAGTGCCCCGACTCTATTCCATCTGGACCGGCGGTATCCTTCCCCTGTGCCTGAACCTCCTCTACCATGTAATGCGCACCGCACCGGAAGTGGCCGGCTTCCTCAACCAGTTTGACGGCCAATTGACCCGCTCGGCCGAATCATTCGCTGCAACCCGCGCCGTCAGCGCTTCCGGGGTCGCTCCCACCCGGCGACTCACTCTCAGCATGGTCTCGGAAGCGTACTCCCTCGCGCTGATCTCGTTCATCCTGACCCGGTTCCGTGAAGCCGGCGCCAGCATCGGCGTGGACGCCCAGGCGATTCAGGAACTGAAATGGCACAAGGCACAAGTCAAGGAGGACATCGAGGAGCTGCTCGAGCGCAAGCAGAGCCTCCGGGCGCGCATCGTGGCCACCAGCGACAAGGAGCTGGAGCTGGCGCGTCAGAAACCGGTCGATGCCGCGTCGGGGGCTGAGAACCGGCTGGAGGAGAAGATCACGAGTGAGCTGAAGGCAACGTTGGTATGCCTTGGTGGGGATGAGGCGTGAGCTCTTTCCTGAAAGAATGGCGTTTGTTTAGAATTCCCAACCAGACAAAGATCTTTTGTTTTTCTCTTTTGTGGGAGGACTGTTCTATATGTCGTACTTATGACCTTTTATTATTTTCCATCTGGTGAAGCGAATTCAAGGGGGTACCTTTTTTTGATTAGGGAGAAATACACTAGCATAACATTGGGGGGGTTGCTCTTGTCTTTCCAGGTGGCAATGTTGGAGTAATCGCTTAGATTAGATATAGATATGTGCAGTAAGTACTGTAGATTGAACTGTAGTTTACTCGGTGAGGGGGCAACAGGTATAGTGGCATGTAAATCCGAACTTTTCTTTCCCTTCGCAAACCACCCACTCTAGTGTGTGTACCCCGACTCAATAATCTGAACATGAATGAATGTTTGCTTTCTCTGAGTGCCATGCCAGATAGTGGCACTCTTCGTCCAGTCAGTCCATGATTGTCTCCATCTTAACGCCGATCCCCCGCAACCACTCACTCCCATTCCCCCACTTCGTCCCCGATCCCATCAACTCAATCACCATCAAATCAACAACCACCCCCATCCAACCATTAACCCAAACAAGAAACCAACCTCGGTCCCTTCAAACAGGGTAACCGACCACCCGAGCCAAAATGCGGGGGAAAGCACCAACCGACACCTCCACTAACCTCCACTAACTACAGCCCAGCCCAGCCCAGCCCAGCCCCGGTAGTCCCTAGTATGAGGAAAAAGAGAGGTGAGATGAGCAGAGCCCCCCAAAAAAGCGGAAAAGCCGAGCCGAAACCCCGGCCGGCATCGATCCAATCATCCCATCCGCAGCAACTGCCTCTTTTCCCTTCAAGGTTCCCTTTACCCTATTTACCTACCCAATCACCCAATCCCTGGCAATCACTATCCTGGAAGGTCAAAACCTGGGTTTAATCCCGGTGTGCCGGGTTTTACGAGGGAGGGGATTGCGTGTCGAATGGGATAGAGGCCGGGAAACCCCCTGCTAGGGTTGTTTTCTGGTGCGGTGCGGTGCAGGGCAGGGCAGTGCAGTGCAGTGATCTATCTTATACTGTGCATACTCACCGCTGCATAAGAGCACCCACCCCCTCTATCGGGGGTTGTGTGCGTATAGCTGGGGATTAGCAGCATGAGTCAACAAAAACAGACCAAATACTGCGTTCAGGGAGGAGACGAAAAGGACAGCGGATTATGCATGGCATGCATGCACGACCGCACGCCCGCACTGTACTGTACTATGTACGATGGATGGCTGGCGGCCGCCCGCGGTGTTGGGCCTGTGCTTCCCCCTCTTCCCTCTCTGGTCTGCGTGGACATTTGGACGGATTGATTGACTGACTGATTGACGGATCGAAACTTGGATGATGGGCTGGATCGGATTGAACTGACGTATTTATATCTTCCCTTGGGATTCCCTCTTCTCTTCTTCTTTCTGGTGGGTGTGAGGGTTCTCTTGAAGCACGGACGGTACAGTACATGTTGCTGTGAATTACGAATACTTAATCATTATCACTGGTTTTGACTACATACGGGTGATTATACCATCTTTTTTCATCTAGACATTGATATAATATTACCCCCCCCCCCCCCCAGACCTCACTCAGCAAGCATCTGATCCTATCGAGTGTATGCCTGCCAGCTAGTGGGATGCAATAACTCCTGCTCCCCTCTTTCTCGCTCGCCTCCCTGCCCACCACCATCCTTTTATAATCTAATCCCCCACCGAAACGAAAAACAGCCCCCCAAAATGCCATTCCAATCGCGCTGGTCCATCGACATCCCCAGCTGCCACCTCGCCACCCTCCTCTTCACCTCCCCGACCCACCCGCTCTCCCACACCCACCGATGCTTCCTCGACGCCGCCCGCCCGGACACCCACTACTTCACGGAGCACTCGTTCCGCCTGTGGAGCCAGCGGCTCGCCGCGGGGCTGCGGACGGCCGGGCTGCAGCGCGGGGACCGCGTGCTCCTGTTCGCGGGCAACGACCTGTTCTTCCCCGTCGTGTTCATGGGCATCATCATGGCGGGCGGGATTTTCACCGGCGCGAACCCCACCTTCGTGGCGCGGGAGCTGGAGTACCAGCTGCGGGATTCGGGCGCCACGTTTCTGATCTGTGCGCGGGCGAGTCTGGAGACCGGGGTGGAAGCGGCCAGGGGAGCCGGGGTGGGGCTGGATCGGGTGTTTGTGTTTGATCGTGCGGTTTTGGAGGAAGCCGATGATGACCCGAAGGGCAAGCTGGACGGAGGGCGGCAGGGTTGTCGCTACTGGGGCGAGTTGATCGCCTCCGTCGAGGAAGGGAGTCGGTGGGCGTGGGACGATCTGATGACCCCCGGGGCGGCGGGTGCGCAGACGCTGGCGCTGAATTACTCGAGCGGGACGACCGGCCGGCCCAAGGGGGTCGAGATCACGCACAAGAACTACGTCGCCAATCTGCTGCAGTACAACTTCCTCTTCTACCTGTATCCCGACTGGGTGGACCGGCTGGCGCGCGCGCGCTGGCTCTGCTTCCTCCCCATGTACCATGCCATGGCGCAGAATATCTTCATCGCCGCGGCGCTGCGCCGCGGGGTGCCCGTGTACATCATGCCCAAGTTTGATATGCTGAAGATGCTCGAGTACACCGAGAAGTTCCGCATCACCGACCTCATCCTCGTGCCCCCGGTGGTCGTGGCGTTGGCGAAGCACCCCGCCGTCCGCAGCGGCAGGTATGATCTGAGTAGCGTGGAGGGGGTCGCCAGTGGTGCGGCGCCCTTGGGCGCGGAGGTCTGCGAGCAGGTTGAGAAGCTCTGGGAGCCGGGTCGGATCACGGTCCGCCAGGGTTGGGGAATGACCGAGTGAGTTCTACTCTTGCTGTGCTGAATGTGGAGAGAAGGCGAGTGGCGAACAACCGCCGGCTAATAGACACCCTGATCGGGCTCGCCGTTAGGACTACATGCTCACTGTTGGGCTGGGATCCCACGACGAAGACGCACCCAGCATCGGTGGGTGAGCTGAATGCGAACTGTGAAGCCAAGATCATGGCCGACGATGACCGAACGGAGCTGGGGCCGAATCAGCGGGGTGAGCTGTGGGTTCGTGGGCAGAATATCATGAAGGGCTATTGGAGAAATCCAGGAGCGACTAAAGAAACCAAGACAGAGGATGGGTGGTTGAAGACAGGCGATATTGCCTTCGTGGATGATCGAGGTCTGTTCTATGTGGTGGACCGGAAAAAGGTAAGCTAGTGAGACAGACGGTCTTCCTGCTCGCCACCTGCGGCGGATCACGAACGGACACGCCGGTCCTGCATGCCCTGTTGCCTCTCTATCTCTCTTTCTCTTTGCGATGCTAACAGCCACTCCTGCATTAGGAACTGATCAAAGTCAAGGGGAACCAAGTCGCGCCAGCTGAGCTAGAGGCGATATTGTTGGACCATCCTGCAGTGGCCGATGCTGCCGTTATTGGCGTGCCGATGTGAGTGATCTGGTTGAGACGCGATTTTTTGCCAGCAGGATCAAGAGACGGAGTCGCTTACACAACTCCTGGCAAATAGGAATGACGACGAGCGCCCTCGAGCGTACATTGTGTTGAACTCTGGACAGAACGCCACCGACAAAGACATCTTGTCATTCATGAACGACAAGGTCTCGCCGTTCAAAAGGATCACCGGAGGAGTGGTATTCATCGACGCGATCCCCAAAAATCCATCAGGGAAAATTCTGCGAAAGATGCTTCGTGAGCGTGCTGATGGGGAGATGCAGCCGACTGCAAGACTATAGATCTCTCTCTTCCTTGTCCTTGTATTTGTCCTGCTCTTGCTTTCTCTGTAAGCACAGTAGAACGCCTGAGTTTCCACACCCAGTAGTTAGCCAGAGAAATCACTGGAGAAATCAAAGAATCCCAACAATACTTTCGTCTCTTCTGTCCAGCGGTATGGAATACCTTCTTGTGGCTATACGGTAACGTAATCACATCCTCTTGACCCAATGACTTTGCGCTGTAGTAGACAGCTAAATTTAGGCTTGCTCACGAGCGGCAAAAATGCAAGCTGGTATGAAATTAGTTTGGGAGGCAAGCAATGAATTGGACGAGTGATCAAAGGTATTGTGGTCCAAGTAACAAGAAAAAATCAAGGTGACCCAGTAGAAAGGAACAACCGATCGATCGACGAGATGCATCTGAATGAGTGCCGCTGCCATTGGCTGTAGCTGGTGAGCTTGTACATACCCGACAACAGGAACCAGGAACTTGGAACTAGTAGACATCATCTAGATCTGGCATGGAAGATGTGCCTGCAGAAGCAGGCTGACCAGTGCTCGGCGTGATCGACCCCCATTCACCGCCACATTGCGGCGGCGCGGGAGCCTCACACTCACCACCACAGGCACAATTGTCGGTGGCATGCACGAAGGAGGGGTCGTCTATCCACATTGATTGACTTGAATAATTTTAATTAATCAATGGTCGGGCAAATCCCTCGTGGATGGGGAAATGGCGAGCTGACGACTAGTCCATAGTGCAGAGAGTCTCGACCTCCACCGGGTTCCATACACCCTTTGTCGCATATAATTAGCCTAAGACCTAGCCTAGAACTGGATCTGCGCCAACAGTCGATCGGTAGTCAAGGCGCAGCTGAGATGCACGGCAACACAAGACAATGAAAGGTCCCTTAGATGGCCAAGCCATGCAAACGCAGGGAAGGCGAGCAAAGAAGCGATAATTAGATCACGAGACAGGGCTTCATGGATTCAAAGTAGACGACTGGTCGTAACTTTGCCGGGTCCTTCGCGGCGCCATTGACAGGGGCAGTGCGAATCGCACAGTGTCAACCATCGTGTTGGGTCTCGTTCGCTTGGCTCAAATTCCCCGCCTCCGAGACTCTGCTAGGGGATCGAGGCTCACACGGTCCAGGACTCCAGGTAGCCTTATGGCGTTCTGACTGGGCCGCTTTCTCCCTTTAAGAATTAGCGGGTCTCCTAGCCGATGGCACAGAGTGGTGGCGCTTCCGCTGGGCAGCTGAACCTGCCTTGCTTCAGGACCTTCATTCCGACCTCTCGAGCTCCCTTGGTCCTATGATCGGGATGCATCTATAGTTGGAGGTCATTCTCGTCGGTTGCGATCGGTTCGTAAGCTCTCGTGGCTGATGATGGCACAGCTGGACTGGGAGGGGCTACCTCCCACCTGTGTCATAGCCCACTCGAATAGTGCGCGTTAGTGAAGTAGACTGTCATTTCCATCAGATATGTCTCTAGTCTCTCTGCAGTGGGGTCCGCATATCTCCGTGGACATATAATTCAAAGAGGCGTGTTTCGTGCCATGCATGGGTTGCCCTAAGGCCGGATGTTATTGCTTTTGTTACCGTCTATATTGGTTGCACCATGGTCCGGTCTCAATTATAAAGACCGCCCGATATCTGCGAGAATCAAGCTAAATCCAAGCATATCGCACTTTTGATCGTTTACCTTCTCTTCTGGTGCATTCGGATGCGACGCTCTTGCTTGGCCTGTCCTTATTTGTCTTCCTGCAGCGGCCCATCAGAATTGTACAGAAGCAATTACTTCGACCAAAGAAACCAACGTGGTACAGTACTTCACCCATTCCTTGTGCTACAGGGCTTTCCCAGGCATAGTTGGGTCCAAATACTTACTGGGTGTGCAGTTGGTTTTGCCCACAGCTTGACGAGCAGCTGGGATCCTATTGGCCGCCACAGGGAACTATAAACCCTAAAGCCCCCTTGCAATGAGGTGCACGACTGTCAAGACGGCGATTCCGAAGAATATCCAGATAGCGTCGCTCGGAATCATCTATTCTGTTGCTTGCATAGTTTGCGTGCTAGTCCTTCTTCAGCGTATCCGGCGTCGACGGCTCAGGTACGCATCAGCAGAGAGGCAAATGGATCCGCTATCCTCTTCGCTAGAGAAGGGAGGTGGCGAAGGACCAGCCAGTCCAGTGGGCCAAGGCTACGGCGTAGCCTACCTGCAAGATCCAATCTCCCACCACACTAGCTCGTTCCCTTCAGCTTGCGACGTTCTGCAGCCCTTGTCGCACTTGTCTCAATTGCCATCGAGTGGTTATCTGGCGGCGGTCTTAACTCGAGAGCGGAGCTCGTGGCCGCAGCACTCGTGTTCAGGGGAAGAGCTTGCTCGACCAGCCCCCGGGAACGCCGACATGAACGGAATTTTCCATTCCTCTCCCTGTCCGAATGATCTCGGTGGCTTGTCTTCGGGGCGGTTGAATGGTGGCAGCATGGCCCCGAACGCTCCACCACGGACGGGTTCATCCCCGGTTGGGTGGCGTACCGGAAGCCACAGCCAGGAACCGCCGCTCAATGTTGCGGAGTCGAGCGGGCCTCAACCGACGCGGAAATCCGAGCACGCAGTCCAATACATGCGCGATGCAGACGAGGAGGGAGTGCGGACCTGGAAACGGGTGGTAGTGGAGTACAGTTGATTTCTCGATGTGTGTGGTTCCTGTCGCTTGAACTTGTCTGAATTTGCTTCTGAGGGGGTCTCCTCCCTCTGCTTCGTAATGCTTCGGTTATTTCTTCATTTCGAGATGGATACTGTTCTCATCAGCGACCAGTCTCAGGCGCATACCAGAAGCACAGCCTCGAAAATCGGGTGGCCTGTTTAGTTCTTGATTTGTTCCAAGGAGTTTTTAGTTTGTGGTTGGTGATGATTAATGACTGAATGATAATCGGAAGTGTTAATCAGAGATGAAAGGCGTACAACCAGGTCAGTAGCAGAGTAGGACATAACGAGATAACATCGATATCAGTCAGCTGCTCCTGCAGTAGAAGCACTTGTGGCACGTTGTTCCATCTTCCTACCATCCCATCCCATGTCCGGTCCTTATACTACATATCCCGAAATGGACTAGTGTGGCTCACATGGCAGTATACTCAGTTCTCCCTCTGCTGACTCATCCGAGCTCTCCGCCGAACCGCGAGATGGAGGATCCGTCGGGCATCCAAGCTCACTCACCCACTGATCTCCAAATTCCAGCAGAAGCCATCGGATCATGAAAGCGCGAGGAACTGGCAAAGATGACACTTACGACCTACGATACCTCCCCGGACTCGTCCGAGCTCGCCGCCCTGAATCTATCGCGCCTATTGGCACGCTTAGAATACAATCTCCTCTCTTCCGCGGCGGACTTGAGGCCACTCCGACAATCAGACTACCAGCGCAAGAGAGTAGGAGCGGTATGTGCATCTTCCTGGGTTTGCCCACCAGGCCAGAACATCTTCCCATTCTCTCTACACTGTTTGGAACTTCTGAGATCGACCAAATGCGCAACGACTCAAGTCCGCATCCACGTCACATTCCCCCCATCTCCGCTGTTCTCCACGGCCGAACAGCATCACTGACCTGAGCAACCCCACTCCCCAGAACATAGAATACGCCCGCACTACCCTCCAGAACCTCGAACGCACCCTCCCCCAGGTTAAGCCTCTCGATCACCGACAGACGCTCCAAACCAACCTCGCGCAGCAACGCCTTGTCCTCGGCCGCCTCCAGGACTTTCTCGACCAACTCACCGCCGAAGCGGAGACAAGCCGGGGGAGGAAGCAGCAACGACAAGCCGTCGCGGGGTTTAGCAGTAGCACCCCCGCATCCACTCCCAACGAGGAAACTGAAGAAGATTCGGACTCGGATTCCGAACCGCTCGACGGGGAGGATCTGCTTGGGACTCCCGAAGAAGGCAGCACCACCGACGAAGTCGTCGACGAGGACCGGGACGACACCGGAGACCAGCAACAACCACAGCCACCGACCCTCTCCTCCGCGCAGCCCACACCAACCACCACAGAGACACAATCCCCATTAGCGACAACGACATGGACCACACCAGCACCAGCACCAGCAACAACAACCCAACCCCACCCCTCATCAACCCTCCGCAACCGCACCACCACCACCACCACCACCACCACTCCTCAATCCCCCTCAACCTCAACCTCAACCCTAACAGCAACCGGCACCTCACTCCACCCCGAATCCCACCCCTCCCACCCATCCTCATCATCACCACCAAACCCCAACCCACCAGTAACAAAAACAACAACAGCTACAACAACAGAAGAAACCCTGGCCACCTCCCGCGCCGAACAAGAAGACCTAACGACGTCGCTCCTCTCGCTCGCCTCGCAGCTCAAATCCTCCTCGCAGGCTTTCCACGCCTCCCTGGACGCCGAGAAATCCGTGCTGGCGCGCGCGGTCGACGGGCTGGACCGCACGACGACCAGCATGGAGTCCGCCGAGCGGCGCATGGGCGCCCTGCGCCGCATGTCCGAGGGGAAAGGCTGGTGGGGGCGCATGCTGCTGTACGCGTGGATCTTCGGGCTGTGGATCGTGGCGATTCTGATTGTGTATGTGGGGCCGAAGTTGAGGTTCTAGCCTGAGGGTGGTTGTCTTTTTTACTTGTGGAAACAAAGCGTGGATCGTTTGGGATGCATTGGCTGGTATAAATGGTAGTTGTGCTTGCTGTCCTTCCCCCCCCGCCCCCCCTTCCAATTAGATCTGTGCCTCTGGTTCTGGAAAATAAGAAAGGGTCTTGCTTGCTCCGATGTTCTTCTCTAGCATGACTTGCTTGGTGAGAGTGCCGAACGTTGATAGAGCAACTACATACAATACGTGCACATGTACATCCTGACTGATTCAACTCGCATGCATTCGTAAGGTGTCCTACACTACACCTGGCGCACCAACAGAGCCTCGGAATTCCCGCAGCCCTAGCTCCTCAGTGCAGATGGCACCGGCAAGACAAAAGAACAAACCCACATCGGTAGCCCGCAATACCATCGCTCATCCTCTCATACATACTACCAGCCCTGAAGACATCGGTTTCCCGAGACCGGATGCACAGCGTGATCTATGTTTACACACAGCAAGGTGGACCGGTTGCACCAAGACGTGATGGAATATCCAGCTTCAGATCAAGACACATGAAATTATGAAACGGAATGAGAGTCCAGGGTAACGGCAGTGAGAAAGATAGGAACGAACCAGAAAGAGAAAACGTGGGAATCCTATGGATCGATCAAAAACAAGGGAATAAAATGTAGAGAGAAGTTCAAACATGGACATAAGACACAGAATTCTAACAACTTTGTAGAATCGATACAATCCACAGGAATCCTGCTGCTTCACAGTGAAGAGTTAAAAGGGGGAGGAGGCGGGGGAGAATAGACAGAGAAACAACTCCTGCTCTGTGTCATGGGATGGATATCGGTGATGCTGATAACAAAGAGCCGGCTAGATATCATTTCAGGACAAAGGAAAATAGAAACAGAAATTAGTAGTAATGGACAAGTGAATGTCTCAACGCCGGAATCTTTCGGGAGGGGTAAAAAACTGCAACATGGTATGACAAAGAGCAAAAAAGCACAGAATTACAAGTCACATAGCATACGGTCTAGATGCGAGTCCACTCTGCTCGATCAAGATAAACCGGTCATTAGATCAGACCACACAGTCTCAGGTTTTCTTGGATTATGATGTCTGGAAAACAGTCAGCGTCTGGCCCTACGGTGATTTGTCACAGAGCATTTGGGCTTACCATTTACTGCAGCCATGACGAAGCGAATCTGAGTGGTATCCGTAGCACACGTGAAGTGAGTGTAGATTTGCTTCTGCTCGGCCTGATTGAGAGAAACGAAGCGGTTGAGGATGTAGTCGCATGCGGCGGCGTAGTCTGCGCCTCCCTCGTAGTCGGGGAAGTAGTTCTTCATGGGGCTGACGGGCAGCTTCTCCTTGAAACGATCGATCTTGTTGAGGAAAAGAATGATAGAGGTCTTGACGAACCACCGCGAGTTGCAGATCGAGTCGAACAGAGTGAGCGCTTCTTGCATACGGTTGACGGTCTCATCCTCGAACAGCAGCTGGTCGTACTCGGAGATGGCAACCAGGAAAAGGATTGTCGTAACATTCTCGAAGCAGTGGATCCACTTCTTACGTTCGGACCGCTGACCACCAACGTCGAACATGCGGTAGGTGAGATCGCCGATGATGAATGTCGTCTCGGTGATACCGGTAGTCTTGACACGAGAGCGGAGGACATCCTGATCGGTGGGGAGATAGTCGGGCTGGGCGATGCGATCGATGGCATCGAAGTAGCTGTTGATTAAGGTCAGCAATAGTTGAAGGCATCCGAAGCGACCGTGCTGGGACTCACTATTTGGCGGAGTCGTTCAATTGGTACTCGCGGGATCTCTTGAAGCACTCCTGAACACCAGTGTCGCGCCACAGAGCGCCGATGGCGTTACCAACCTCCGGCGGCAAGTTGTCACCCTCGATCTGAGCCGGCTGCATGAAGACGGTCTGCACGTGGTACTCGTTGCGAGCATCCTCCAGAGGAAGCTCGAGGGATTCCATGGCCTCCAGAATGACACGCATCGACTGAACGGTGTTGCTGTAGATGATTTCCTTGAACGACTCCCGCTCATCCCGGGAGTAGCTGCCCTCGTGGATCAACTTCATCTGCTTGAGAATGGTCGACTTTCCGGACTCTCCGGCACCTATTCACGAGGACTGTTAACTCTCCGTCCAATCAATTTCCCCAAAGTGATAGTAATCGAGGAGGCGCGTACCGAGCAACAGCATCTTGATTTCGTTTCTTTGCATCATCTTGTCCCGCTTGAGCTGGTTCTCAATCTCCTCGTTGCGAGCCTTCCCCTCCTTGTCTTCAGTACTCATTCCACAACCCATTTTGGCGGTGATCAATGAAGGTGTAATTAATCAATAGGATGGCGTAAATGAACGGCTAGAATTGAGCGAGGCGTTGATTGTTAGGACCCTGTCAGCGACGATCAAATGTCAGTCAAAAGGCAATTCTCCGCGTCGGCATTAGCCAGAACGAGATCACGTCCAGCGCGGACGTCGTCGGACACGGGAACGAGGCAGTCAAGCGCAGGCCAAGCAGTGCACCGATAACATCGAAGTCAAAAGCCAAAGCAGAAGTTCGGAAGGTTAAGGTCCAACAGGGTAGAAGTTTCGCAGCCCAGCGACCGTGCTGACGCAAGGAGGTGCAGCTGACGCATCCAACGGAGGGCTTGCGGACAGACATCTCATGTAGCCGGGGAAGAACGAGGGGAACGGCTTACTCTGCTCGAGAACTCGATCTGATAAATTCCCACAAGAAGAAAAGAGATGAATAGATCAAGTCGAAGATAGTATTACTCGAAGGTCGAGGCGGATGCGAAGGAACGGGCGGTAAGGGGAAAAATCAGATATAAGCGCGAAGCTTTGAGGCTAGGTGGAAAGGAGGCGAAAGGAAGGTGGAACACTGGTACACCAGTTATGTCGGTTGTTGCCAAGGTACGTGTGTGTGAGTGTGTGTGAGTGTGTGTGTGTGTGTGTGTGTGTAGGAGCGAAGTTTCCAAGGTAATAAGAGGTGTATCGAAAGAAAAGAGACGCAGATAATGGAGGGTATCAACAAGCAGCTGCTTTGTGGTCAACCTACCCCAATCTACTTGTGAGAATTGGATGAACGGAGGGGAGGGGAGAAGGAGGAGGGGGTTGAGAATGCAGAAAGGAAGAGAAGGAAAATGGTGGAGGAAAGCGAGCGAGGCTGAAGGACGGGGAGCGAGAAAGATTAAGCTCAGCCGGTAAGGGGGGGAAAAGAGAGTGGGAGAGAGCGAGCGCGCGCCTGAGAGGATGGAGACCGAGACACTGGAGAGGAGAGGGAGAAGGGAGAGGGAGACTGAGGAACGTGAGTGAGCCGGAGAAAAGAGGCGAAAATTGGGCAAAGGGAAAAAAAAAGAGGGGCCAGAATAGGGAAAGGTCTGTAACTTTGCCTGTCGGTAAGATGGATACTATTACTACTGGATACTTTCTTACAAGCCTCGAATTAAGCGGGCAGGAGAAAGGAGAAAGAGGGGAAGACTGAGGAACCTCGTGCTCCATTGGAGTCCGTCTCCGACTGAGACGATGAAGATAGAGAACCTTTGCTCCTTCTGGAACACCTGGAACACCAGGAACACCAATTGACCCATCGTGAAGGTTCAAACCATCAGCAAAATTGCATCAATAAGGGGGCAGTGGAGGGTTTGGTCTGGTAATGGCGATGGGCGCTTTCGAAGTCATTTGATCATTGGTTGTCGAGTTGAAAGAGGATCCGGTGGAGCGGAGCCCCCGCTGACCAATGGTACTGCCTATCTCCCACCCTCCCCTTTTTTTTTTTTCCCGGCTGAGAAGGATCATGGATGAATGGCCTTAGCCGTGAGGTTTTCCACCGCCCACTTGCCCGCTCTTCACTTTCCATCACTAACTCGAGTAGTTAGGTAGTAACTTAGTAATCTATAAGTTACCCAGATATGGGCATGAGTCTTACTTTCAATACCTCATGTGATATGCTCATGACTCGCAATGCTGCTTCACTTCATAGAGTGCTTGCTGACACTATATAATACATATTCCATGTCTGCAGTATCTTGATTTTAAGTAAAAGTTCTCATCCACTTAGTGTCGGTACTGCTATCAGTCGAGTAAGCGAAACATGCAGGACCAGTAGTGGCTCAGTCCGGAAGGCAAGCTACTGCATGGAAGTGTTCCTGGTGCTGCCGCTGAAGGACATCTAAGGCCTAGTCTACTAAGTTCTCATGCATACAAAGCCCAGTACAGTACGGATTACTAGACTAGTCGCCTCTCGACCAAGGAAGAGCAGCCGACTCATGAGAAGTGACGAGACTACGGTAAGCCCCGGCCATTGTTGATGATTAACAATCAGATAGTCACCAACTCGCATGGATTAATTTCCGGGTACCGCAGATCGACTGACCACGAGTGTGTTGGTCTCCGAATTCGAATATTCTTGACCAACAACTTTCAGTCGAATCTACTTGCGTATCGTCTCCCAGCAAGCAGTCATTGTATACAGATGCATATGCGGGTGTGGGGTCTCTCCATTTCTTTGCAGATAATACATTGGAATGGGGACATGGCAGCAAACGAGCAGGAGAGGGTAAGAATAGTCCTGTAGCTTAGTCTTACTCGAAGAAGACCTGCGTTTCAAAAGGTGCCGCCATCCAGGAAGTGGGTGGGGATTTGGCACCACACTTTGCGCGCCCCGATCGCCAGGTACAGTCCAGAACCGTTGCGGTTGGCCGGTTTCATTGTTGTGATTCACCCCTGGCTCTTCGTCCCCTGGTGCATGGATGCATGATATCATGCAATGCAAGTATGCGTATAGTTGCTGGCCGATGCTCAATTTTTTCTGATAGATGTTGGGTGAATTCCTCGAGTGAGAGTGTTGCTGATGGTGGTGCTTGAAGGCGCTTTAAGGAATACGGAGGGACGATTACTAGTCTCTCTTAGTGAGGTACCGTATGCTGCTGTAAGCTCCACTCCCCAACTGCCCCGTCGATCGCTTCTCCGCACGAGGAGTTGAGAAAATGGGCGAGAAGACATGATGCTGATTCCAGACAGACTTGGGCGAGGGAGATGCTCTCCTTCCCTGATCAATCGTCAGATACATGTTTTGGAATGGCTTCAAGGTTTTATCCAGACTTGCGCCTCTTGTACTCAACCTGCTACGATTGAGAGACAGTCAAACCGTTGTGTTCCATCCGTGTTTCTGCTTTTCCAAGGAGAAGCGGAGCAGCAATCCGAGCCAAGATGAATCTGCCGCCGAACCCTACTGGCACTGGCATCCATGGTTCGACGAAGGACTAATAGACGACTAGTCACCTTCTTCCTCGTTCCCAATCAGTGTGTGGTACAAGAATAGATCTGGTTTCTCCGGGTTCCAGAAGAATGGGATACTCTCGTCGCAAGCTGCGCGCTGTGATCTACCTTGCAACATCAAGTTCATTCAGGGTCTTGAATTGATCAATCAAAACCGATCAATCAAGCTTCGGGAAAAGGTATGTCTCAGCATGCGAACTCGCAATGATCCCAGTGCTCTGGGTACCGCTCTAGTCTAGGCATGGCCGTTCTCTTCAGCTCGTGGAGGGTGGCCAGACTATTGAATCGGTTTCCACTTGGCCTGGCGCATTGCGCTTGGCGCATCTACTTCAAAGGGTAAGTCGGATTCTCCGATGCCCTCCGTACTGTACCTATCTCTTACACTATTGTGGGCTCAGTACAGAGTACTCAGGCCTGAATGCTAGGGTTGACCATGTTGGTTTGCCCGATTGTCAATGCTTACAATTGGCCTACTAGTAATATAGAATGACGCCTACTCAGTATCTCGTATATCTATGAGCTCGCCCCGACCAGATCCATTCCGGGGATTAGCCGACCAACTGCCATGGTAGTGGTGCTTCCTAGCGAAACATTGAAGAGTCGCGCAATGACACGCTTCTCTGCCATATCCAAGCGAATATCATCGTTTCCTCTTCCCTTCTACTATACCTAGTCAACGCCATCTGAAATGTCCTTGAAAGCTGATCGGGATGCCCCTGGTGCTGTCCACGGCCAGTCGGTGCCGCCGCATCACCGGAAGACCGCAGCCTCAGGCCATCCACCCCCCAAACCCTTTGTAAAGTAGGGTTCCGATCGCAGATCGGCCATCGACTGGCGCCAATGCCGCCCGATCGCTGCGACATTCGCCTCTCAGGCAATCCACCATTCTTTTTTCTATTCTCAACAACCGTCGATACATTCATTCGCAACAACAGCCCGTGTCGCTCATTACCCGACTCAGACCCGTCATATCCAGCATCCACACAGGCATAGAAAGTCGCTCACCGCCGGAGCCTCTCGCAAAGATGCACGAGATGTCTCACATGGGCCCTCGGGGTAAGGGACCAGGAAACGGGGAAATCCCTCGCTACTATCTCCCCCGATCTCTTTCGCGCGCGACTCACTCAAGACTGATATCTCATTCGCGAAACGCGCTCTACAGCCTTCAACCACGAACAAAGTCAAGACACGGAAGCCGAATATGACCGTCTCCGCGACCTGGCGCGACAGGAGGCCTCCAAGCGCAACTCATGCTTTCAACGGGTACTTTACCTTTACCTTTGCCTTTTGCCTTAATGATTCCGCACCCAACTTCCGGCGCCAACCCACTTTCCCTTGGAGCCGAATGGACCGCTGATCCTTTCGCGGAAATTTCTAGTCCCAAGAAGCATACACCAGCGGCGACGGCGCGCGGGCCAAAGAACTCTCGGAGCAGGGCAAGGCCCACGGGCGCCAGATGGAGGCGTACAACAAGCAGGCCTCCGAGTTCATCTTCCGGGAGAACAACGCCGAGGGCCGTGTCGCGCCGGACACCATCGATCTGCACGGGCAGTTCGTCGAGGAGGCCGAGGAGATCCTCGAGGAGCGGATCCGCTACGCGAAGAACCACGGGCAGACGCATTTGCATGTGTGAGTGCCAGCCCTCAACCCCCTGTCTCAGCTTGGTACTGTACTGTGCTTGGATGCTGGTTTATCCATGCTTTGGGACGTCAAAGGATCAACAACACACAAAGCTAACTCTTTTCCCGTGTCTTGGAAACTATCAGCATCGTCGGAAAGGGTAACCATTCCGCCAACCACGTGCAGAAGATCAAACCCCGTGTCGAGCAGGTCTGTCGCGAGCTCGGGCTCCAGTACGCGACGGAGGAGAACGCCGGCCGCATCTACGTCAACCTGACCGGCGGACCGGCCGACTTGTCCCAGGCGCCCGCGGCGCATCAGCAACAACAACCTCACCACTACCAGCAGCAGTACCCTGGTGGACCACAGCAATCGCACCAGTATCCGCAGCAACAGCACCAGCACCAGCAATACCCACAACAGCACCAGCAACAGCAACAGCAACAGCAACAGCAAGGGGGTAACCAGAACGAGCTTGAAGAGGTTGTCAACGCCGTTCTCCCCAGAATCCTGCGCAAGCTGGAAAAGGCTTGCTGTGTGGTTATGTGAGGGGATGGGCTGGTGGGCTTGCGACATGGATATACGACGGGGGCATTGGCCCGATCTTCTGGATATAAGAGACAGTACCTTAATGTCTTTGGATTAATACGACGGTTACTGGTTGTTGAGATTTGGATTGTTGTTGGATATTTGTTATTCGCCTGTGTCGGGGGAGCGGGGTAAGGAGTCGTCATGATTTCTTTCATACAACTACCCTGTCCCATACTCTTGCAGGCAGCAGACAAAGAAACTCTTCGTAATGAAATGTTTATCACGTGTGCAATCTCTGATTCAGCGCTGCTTAATAGACAAGATCATGTATGTTTCTTCCATCATCACTCTTGTTTGAACCACCACATGTGTCAGAGGTACGTCGTCTGATTCGACGGGGCTGAAGTGCATGTCGGGTTTTGATGTGCAAAAAGATGGCGAGTTCCGCTACTCTTGAGGCTTCCCTAGCGTGGATTCTGTGATCTTGTTGAGAATCGCACGAACCATCGCGCCATCGTCGCAGGCCCCGTTGCCGTCGATCTCCGTGATGAGCGCCAATGCCTTATCCCGCAGTTCGCGGACGACGTCCCGCGTGTGCGCAAAACTGCCGGTCTGCTCCATGTACGTCACCGCGTAGCGCTTGACCTCCTCGTCGGTGGTCTTCTGCTTGAGGATGCTGAGCAGCTGGTGGTCCCCGGGTCTGGCGCGGATGCTGTGGATGATCGGGAACGAGAACTTGCCCTCCGTGAGGTCCTCGCAGAGGCCCTTGTTCTTGGTGTAGGTGCCGCTGGACAGGTTCAGGTAATCGTCGCAGATCTGAAAGACCAGACCCATGACGTTGACCAAGCTCACGCAGTCCTTGCCGGCACCGCTCTCGGCCTGCATCAGCTTCACGGCCAGCCGGAACAGCCCGCCCGTCTTGTTGCCGACCATCTCCAGGTACTCCTCCTCGGTCGGGCAGGTCAGCGTCTCCCGCCAGAACAGGTCCATGCCCTGGCCGCGGTGCAGGTTCAGCAGCTCCTGCACATAGATGTCGATGGCGGCCGGGTTGTGCAGTTTCTGCACCTCCTGCAACGCGAGGAAGTACACGTAGTTGGCCGAGTTGATCGTCTGCGCGGTGCCGTAGATGTTGTGGGCCACGGGGATCCCGCGACGGAGGACTGAGTTGTCTTCGACATCGTCAATTCTATCATTTTCCACAGGTCAGTTTTGTTTGTGCGAATGATTTTTTGATCTAAGTTTCCCTGAGGGAGCTTTCGGTGGAGAGTGGTACAAAAAGGCGGAAGCTTACAGTAAAGAGGCAGTGTGCAGCATGGCCACCACCTTGGTGATGATCGTCAGACTCTCCGGAGGAACATTCAGCCATACATTGAAGGCGTTGATGAGCTGTCGGCGAATGTCCTTGCCCGGGTGCTGGAGCATATAATCATAGGGACCGAGCACGATCTTCTCGTTCTCCGGCGACCATTGCCCGTCCTTGTACTTGGTGCCATCCACACTGGACCGGTTACGAGTATGCGTGCGAGTCCCATTATTGGTATTCGTCGAGAAGCCATCGGCTGCTGGTGTCGATCCAGATTCCCGGTCCTGCTCGGGGATCGCTGTCAAGTCCGATCTGGGCATACTGGGTGGACCCGCTCCAACCCAAACATCGTCATTCGTGACCGAGCTCGAACTGGGTTGGAGGAGGGTGGTCGGGGGTGGCTGGAAAAGTGGCTCGGAAGGCATCTTTTCCCGTGCGTCTCAAGACGAAGGGTTGCTTTGCTGTACCCACTACTTTTAGAGGGGGGGGGTGCTGAAGAGATGAAGTGGGAGTAAGCGGAGGAGCGGGGGGGGGAGGCACTCCTTTTTTCTGTTAAAATCTTGTGGAATTTTACCCCGACGTTCTATGACAGCGAAAATGAACACGAGAGTCAAAGTCCTGCATACTGACTCGGAGTCAGTTGATTGTTAGGTTTGTAGAAAGCCAGGTTGGGTCAAGTAAAATGTGAGATCCAAAACCTAACCCCCATGCGCGAACAGTCAGACGGGTTAGTTTTTGCTGCATGCATCCAGCAGTCAGTTTGCATATCCGTGGAGGAAGAGAGAGAGAGGGGGGGGGGGGGGGGGGGCAATCAATAGGCGGAGTGAATAACCAAAAAGTCTACGGCGGGGGATAACGTGACGTAGTGTCACATGCCGGGTCGGACAGGACGGGAGGAGTCACGTGGTCGGGCTCGTTCTGGCTGGAGAGAAACTCCGACCGAACGGGCCTCAACCTTGCCGCGTGCCTGTCGGTCTCCTGTCGTTTGCTTCGTGCGGCACTGACACCAGCACGCACAGTAACACGGCATCCAAGTTGTTAATGTTGTACGACCCAAGAATCTGAAAAGCGAGTGGCTGGTACAGGGCGGAAAATTGCCCGGTTCCGCCGGATGACTTGCTCAGGAGGGCAACAGTCAACAGTCAACAGCTGGTGCAGTGATGTAGTGATGTAACTTAGTGATGTGGTGCCTGGCAGAGCGGCTGAGGAGAGGAGAGGAAGAGGAACTTGTTGTCGGTGTGGTGTGTCAATGATTCAATTACACAACACAGTATGGATACCTGTCGGCAAGACCGAGACGTCACAATTGAGCCCCATGGCCCATGCCCGCAGGATGCGCTTCATCAATGGCGATGGCGTAGCTCAGCTGAAAGATGAATCGCAATACCCCAGCCCCCCCAGTTTGACATCATCTATCTATCGCACTAGACTGGGCGCTAGTCCACCACCGCGAGCAAGTGTGAAAAAGCACAGCTGCTGGGCGCATCATTGGTAGAGAGAAAGTGGTCACCGGGACAACGATGGGGATGTTGTTGTCAAATGTGGGGAATCTTAAGGCTGGCGGCTAATGAATGGACTTAAAGTGACTTAGTCTAAGGCTCTAAGCATCACTGAACCCAGTCTGACCGTCTCCCGTCAACAACAATCAATCATGTTTTCCCTGACGGTTCGTGCCCACCACCGTCTTTCTTTTATCGTCAGAATCGTCACCAATGCTTTCTGGAACTAATTAAGGGCTCCATTCTCCAAGCGTCTGGACTCGATCCATTCGATTTTCCATTTCAGCTTTGAAGCCTTTTTAACTCCTTTGAGGCAATTTTTAGAAAGATCGTACCTCTTAGCCGTCACCCATCTCTACGCTACGCTACACATCCATCCAAATTGTACCCGATCGTCTTGGCCCAAGGGTCTATTCTTCTTCACGGACCCGTCGGTTGATCAAACGCTTTGTTTTTTCATTTATTTTTTCGATTTCCCCTTTCCTCCCATTGTCTTCTTCGGATCTTATTTCTCTATTTTATTTCTTCTCCTCCCACCCCTTCCTTCTCCCGTCCCTCTGTGCGACAGAGTTATTGGAGTTTCTATTGCGCCTCGCTTTTCCCCTTCCCTGTTCACACCACTCATGGAGGCATTGCTGGCGCATTCGTTTGACTATCTCTCTTCATACGAGCCAAGCAAGGTCCGGAAGGGTCTGCGACAGGTGGAAGGGCTCCTCGCACAGATCTGTTTGTCCAAGTCGAAACGACCGGCGTCGGACAAGCGGCGGTCCCTCCTGTCCTTTGGAGCTCCGCAACCCGTGCCCAAGTCCCTGTCCGAACTCAAAGATGACCCGGCTTTCAGGGAATTCTTTAAGCTTCAGGAAGGCTTTCAATGGAATGGTGAGTTACACTACCTCCCCTGCATCCATGCATCCATGCATGTCGCAACATCCATGATGCTGATTTTCTATCCACAGTCGCAATGCGCCTGGTAACGTGTCTCGAGCATCTACTTGGGCGGGGCAGCAACGGTACCAATGACGCCCTTATTGTTACCACCCTTGACCTCATCCAAGGCGTGCTTCTACTCCACCCGCCCTCGCGCACGTTATTCGCGCGCGAGATCTACATGAATTTACTCCTTGACTTGCTCGACCCCATCAATTGCCCAGCCATCCAATCAGCGACGCTTCTCACCTTGGTCACAGCTCTTCTGGATCACCCAGCCAATACACGCACCTTTGAGGACCTCGACGGTCTGCTCACCGTGACCTCACTATTCAAGCAGCGGGCCACTTCGCGCGAAGTCAAGCTGAAGCTTGTGGAATTCCTCTACTTTTACCTGATGCCAGAAACTCCGATGATTCCAGCAAGCCATTCTGCGCCCAACACGGCCGTCATGGGTCATCAGCGCAGTCCCAGCAAGCTTGGCGCAGCGCAAGTGTCCAGGAGTGTCAATGTTCCGGGGGCGTACGGCGGCGGCAAAGCACATCGGGATACACGGACCACCGACGAGAAGCAAGCATTACTAGGAAGACATTTGAACAATGTCGAGGATCTGGTGGAGGATCTCAAAGAAACCGCCCCCTTCGGCGCCACCGTCTACTAAACATCATTTTCGAGCGACAATGGGTTTCTGCGTTCTTGTGTTCTGTTTTCAGCGACGGAGCTTGCATGGATTTTTACGGTATTCTGGCTGGCTGGGTTTGTTGCTTAATCGGCTAATTGGGGTTTTCTTTCGGCGGTCATGTCTTCTTTTGCGACTTGGTCCATTTTCCTATCCTTCTTCCCTCCTTGGCTATCAGGGCCATTTATGCCATTTTCTTGTTCTCGTTTTCCCGTCTGGTACGGTCTTTGGATTTTCGAACACCATTCCTCCTTTTTTTTCATTATTCCCTGGTCATGTCTCTCCTATGTTTATGGCCTTTAGCATGTGCTTACGATGATGTTTTTCATGTGCCATGTTTGCGATCGGCGCTCGATCTCTCAGCGTCCCAGCTCCGAATGAACCAAACATTCAGTATTGGTGGAGAACCTCATATCCAGTCTAGCGTGAATTTCATCTGACGGGCGCAGGACTGGCCCCGTGTTCTTCTTTGAGAATGTCCGTGGCTGGAATTTGCAAGCCGGTCTTCCTGAGTAGAATAGTCGATGCTGGGCTGCAAGTATACGAGCAATGCGTTGTGTTGGGTTACGCTTAGTAGATCTTCAGTCCTGCAAACACATTGGTACTATCATCCTAGCTCATCTCAACTGAACCTCATGGTTTTATTGTTGGGGGCATAAAACCTGTAGCGGTTTCTCGGGTCGACAACCATTCGCACACCAAACCATTCGCCCAACCAGAACTCGCGAATGACCAACTCATCCAAGTAAGCAATCCAGAATACCCATCCCAGCTCGAGATATTGCGAAAGCAAGGACTGTCCCGTCAGCAAACTGGTATACGCACATCAAGACATTTCTTCCAATCGGCGCAAAACCTGTTTCCGAATTTCCAGCTGGAAGTATATACTATCCCGCGGGACCGCACTCAAACATGTTTGCCGAAGTAAATACCCACCCCTAACTAGATGTTGATGATAAGCAAGCCTGAGCCAAGGCGTAAGCTGATTCATCGCTGACTACAGATACAGCTTTATCCCAGCTTCGGAGCCTATTCCCGGGATGTGGTTTTTGATTTTACTCTAGATGAATGATTGCATTGGTTTGCTTCGGTGCTGAGGGACTTTCAGACCGGAAGATCGTTGCTCACATACGTGTACAGTACACGACACACAGCCTTCGCTTGTTGGGTTTGTGGAGGGATGGAATGGACCTTGTTAGGTGGGGGATATTATTCTGTTCTCCTTTGCGGGAGACATACGGGCCTTTCTAAGAGCATCGGAGCCCTACCCTACTGGAATTTAGGCACGGTACCACTTTGTCTAATTCCTACGAAGGGTTCGTGCTTCGGTCTTATTGCTTGTGCTGTTGGTTGATGGGAGCTTTTGCTTTTTTGAGGGGGAATGGGTCATGGGTTGCTGGATGTGGGTGGTGAGGTGGTCTGAGTTGAAGGATGTCGATAATGAGAAGGGTGGGGGGTGAGAGGCTGGGCTCAGGGGATTAGGTAGTGGAGGGTTTATGTGTTGTTGTGCATGTAGAAGTAGGTGGACAGTGGTCGGGATGTGGTGATTGGGTTCTGGGGTCACGGAGAAGGGCAAGAGAGGTGAAGATGGATTCCAGGCAATAATAAGGATGGCATTGCAAGAAGGTCGGGCAGGGCTTGTCTTGAGGGTAGTTCTATATGTTTTATGTCTAGTAAGCTAGGTAAACGTGCTTCTCAGCGATCGGGTAGTAGAGGGAGCTAATATGGTACAGAGAGTGGGTTTGGTGTAGTTCGTTTCTTTCTTTTCGTCAGACAGCTCTAGAAGAACTTCAACAGTCTGTCGCGGTGTTGTACAAGGTTCTCATGGCGTCGCAGCAGCTGTCCCAGCCGGTTGCGCTTCCACCCCATCTTCTCGTCCAGGATCAGGTGCGTGTATGCGAAGACGCTGGCGTCGAACAACCCCGGATTGGGCCGGTCGAAGAAGTGCACACTGTCCCCGAGGAGTGCCGACAGGGCCTCGAATGCCTCGCCCGCTTCCGCCTCGAGCGCGCCGGCATCGATAAAGGCCGACGTCTTCAGGAGCTCGGCTCGCGCAGCCTGCTGCAGCTGCAACGCCAGAGCGGCCCGCACGGCGGGGTTCGTGGTGCTCGCGTCTACATAAAGACGTCGCGCAACGGCGTCGAAGTTTTCACTGTCAATGTACAGGGCATACAGCTGGAACGAACGTCGTCTGTTAGCATAAGGAATCGTGCGGGGCCTCTTTCTTCTCTGCTTGTCACCACTCAGCCGAAACCACGTACCCAGGCATTTCGTATCCGGTGGTCCAGCAACGATGCGTATACTTCGAAGCGCGCGTTCAACTGTTGCTCCTCTTCACAGTGCACTTGCTCAATGGCCCATTTTTGGAGTTTGCTGGAAGGAATCGGGGCGTTGTTGCCGACGGGCAGGGCGGGGAGAAGGAAAGGAAGGGCGCCGGTGGGGGATGCATGATTGCTTGATGGGATGATGTCGAACTCAATGCCGGCGAACCTCAAGTATGCCTAGAATATCACAGACAAGCATCGTGAGCGACAATGCGAGATTTGAGAGGGAGTTTGGTGTGTCTAATTACCTGCCACTTGAGGCATTGAGGGTTGAAAGACGGCCTCCCATGCCTAGCGCCGGCGGCATCTGTGAAAACAAACAACCGATTGCCCTGTCGGTTGGACCAAGAGCAGTATGGAAGATCATTGGCAGGATAGGTGACAAGAGGGAATTTGTCGAAGATGCGCTTGACCGGTGCAGGGACAGAGAAGAAATCTCGAGCGCGCGCCGCCGCAGTGGCATTGTCCGGCGTCTGGCCGGGGGCTTCACGGCGTTCCGAAGTCATTGGAGGAGGAATAACCGGAGAAGAAGAGGATGAGCGATGTTGATGAGTATTCAAGTGTATTATAAGCTGGCGCCAGCTTCAGCTTCAGTCAGCGAGGTGTTCTTCGCCTAAAGGCAGACGGATCGAGGAATGGAGGGTCAGAATCGTATCCAACGGAAAGCATCGCGATGGCTCTCGGAATAGTTGCGAAACAATAAAGCCCGGTGCCAAGCCGATTATCGCCTGAGGCGCCAAGGCACTGATACCGAGGCCAAAGGAGGGGTGGGTGCCTGAGGTTGCGGCGGGCGTCTCGGCTTATCCTTATCGATCGAGAATTGCTCGCTTTGACATTCGCGCCCACCGTCTGCCTCTCCCCCGCATCTTCCTCTCCTTTGAATCTTCCTTCTTGCCTGCGGGGCTGTAGTTCGATGACGACAGCACAACAGAGCGCGACGAGCGGAGTTTCGATGGCCCTGGGCTTATCACACAGCGCTTGTTTCCTTCATTGTCTCCCAACTCTCCATATCCGAACTCTGTCGCTATCTGAGTAACCGACCAGTTAGCACTCTCTCGAGAATCATTGACAACTTATCAATCGGATCATCAAATCGATACTATTACCCCGGTCACCGCAGTCAGCCTGACTTTACTCGATACTGCTCTTGGTCGCTGAGTTGAGAGGACAGACCTGTGGCTCTAACCCTCTTCAGATTGCGCCGAGGCCTCGCGAGAAGAGTACATCGGAAGCCGTGGCACGATCGGACCCCTCTGGGCGGGGTAAAGCTACTGCGTCCCTGAGTCTACCTTGGGAGCGAACGCGCCGTCAGCGGAACTCGATCAGTATCACGAAATACGCCTGACGGATGCAGGATTGAGCTTCAAAATGCCCCTCGACGAAGAAGGCGCCAAATGGTCGTGGTATGGCATTGCATTTCTCCGGGCTGATTCCGCGCTTGCGCTAATATTGATCTCATATCACTAGTGAGCCATGCATTCGTGGCCATCGGTCATCCAAATGTCAGCACTTTGACAGAATGATGATGAAAGTGCCGAAAGCTGGTCGACCTCTCGCCAGATGCCCGCATCCGAAGGGCACGTGTAGCTGTCAGAAAACATATGCTTTCATGATTCGCATCCCAAAAGGTTAGCTCGGCCCCAATCGCCTGCCCCAAGGCTCTAGATTGTCGCTCCGCGTCTCGAAAGACTCGTTCAAGGTTGCTGATCAGGTGCAGGTTCTGGTTGTTTGTGCAGACCAGTGTACCAAGTGCCCGCAGATGCAGCTGGGACCGTCTCCTCTCCGGCCGTCGGTTCAACGCCAGTGCCGTCAAATGCACCTAGCAAAGTACAGAAGCCCGGGAAACGACAGATCAAGACTGCGCCGGAAACCCTGACCAAAGCGCTCAATTCTATTCCGGTATTTGCTAATCAACTCACTGAGAGTGACTTTCTTAATCGCTCCATCTCGTACCACCCTCAGGATTTGGAATCCAACAAGTCGTTCTTTGCAGCCAACCAAAACTCGGATGTGTTAAACGGCACTGGAGGGAACCATGTCTCCGACAATCCTTCCAGATCTGACAAAACAATACCTGAACCTAAGAGTTGTTGCACTCGTGCGCCTCAGCCAGTTGCGCCGCCGGCACCCGAAGTCCAGCGTTCTTGCTGTGCAAAGCCTGAAACAGCCCCCCAGAGTGACTGCTCTAGAGAGATCAAAACCTCAAAGTCGGTTGGATCCCAATCATCAAGCTCCAGCGGAAACGCAACACCGTTTTCCTCCTTCTCCAATCACCAAGTCTCCAACTGGCATGACTCCCAGATAGCAAAGCAAGGTCATACCTTGTCATCATCGTCTCTTTCTCAGAGCCACGATTTATTCCCATCAATCATTCCTGACTATTTGTCCCATTACACCCCAACCTCGCTGGAAATGCCACCTCACGGGTCCTCCAACGATGCCGAGCTATCTCAAGCGTTGATGCAGCAGCCACAATTTTCAGACTTGACGGGAAATTCCAATTTTTCGTCCGCGGCAGCGAACGAGGAAGATACCACTCATGAATGCTTTTGCGGTGACAACTGTCAATGTTTAGGCTGTGCTTCTCATCCCTTCAACAACACTACCAGGCAACATGTACGAGAAATGGGACTATTGGTGGCCTTGAACGATGGAGAACAAGGTTTGGAAAGCCCAAGTAGCCGTCAGAACTCTCCTTTGTTGGGTCAGCAGCCGGTGTTCTCTCCGCTGCACTATTCATATACCAACTTCAGTCACCCATCTGATAATCTTGTTCAACCACTGGGAACGCATCCTTTCGTCGACCAGTCTGCTACACCGGGCAGTCTCAGTGGTGGCTACACAACCCCTTCCACAAATTACATACCGAATCAGCACCTGATGGAACCCTCAGAGTACTATACCCTTGAGTATCCAATAGGACTTCCGAGTGCCTGCTCAGACATAACCGGCAGTTGCCAGTGCGGGAACGATTGCACTTGCGAAGGCTGCCTCACGCACAGTGGACATAACGGTCTCGCAATCGCTGCCATGCCATCCGATACCCACCCTTGGGACAACACCAACCTCGCAAACTCCGTGGCTGATGGAGCACTGTCTGGCACATCCGAGATGTCCACATTCGAAAATCCTTTTGCACCTTCACACTCTATGCTTTGAAATATCCATTCTGGTCTGAATCTGGTCTAAGATTAGAATCCTACGCCCTCCGTGACCGTCTGCCATGCAGGGCCTCCGGTTTGGGATATTGCCGGCACTAACTTCCTCCAACGACTGACGATCGATCATGATACCCCTCCGTACACACGGTGATAGAGTATATGACAAAATTGTGTATATGCTTCCCCGATCTTTTGATGCCTTTCAATGACCCACATTACTCCTCTCGTGAATTTATTGCTCATGCTTAATCTTATTCCCGTGGACTGTGCTTACTCACAACAGCCGGGCCTTACAAGAGCTGGACTGAAACCTTTCCGAGTACAGGTAGACAGATAGAGGAGCTGGCGCAATTCACTAGGCCATGACGTGCTTGGGTTGCGCACATATTAGATGTGAGCACACAACTCAAGCGCGAGAAGCAGGCCAGGTCTTGTCCTTGACTACTGTAGATGCACCGAGAAGCCGAACAGGTCCAACGATAAATTGCATGCTAAAAGTAAAGAAAAGTCTAGAAGAACCTTCTAAACCGCACCACCACTGTGTGCCCTCACCGCCGACTTGATTTCCTTCCCAGCTATACAGGTATCATACAGAAACAGATGCCGAGTCGGGTATGCTCTACCGGCGCAGAGCATCTCTGACGGGGGAGTCACCCCGACGGAAGGAAGCTAGAATCAACCCGTCAGTGCGCGTGCCATTGGGCCCAGCCAGTGATAGGAAACATACAATCAGCCTCCTCCCAAGCACGGCCGGCACCGAAGCCCAGACCAACCCAGGCGGGCCAGGCTCTCCGCTTGAAGAGCAGAACGGAGAAGACGACACCGAAAGAGAGACCGAGGGAGGAACGGATGATGAGGGATGAGATGGCGCGGTCCCACTGTAAGGTGTGAAGGAAGATCCCCCAAGGTTAGCTTAGCGCGTTCAAGAATCGTTTCGCAGAGATCGATGTATGAGGGTGTTCCGGATGATGTCAACGGAGTTTGACGGCCGGTCCGGTCAAGGTAGAGATGCGCCTCGCCGGATCATTGATGTCTTGACACCGATCTGACCGAATAGCAGGAGAGGAGAAGAGGAAATTGGAGGCAGTGTGCTCATCGGTCGGCATACCTTCTCGTTCAGCAGGGCCTCGCTGACGGGCTTAGTGGAGCGAGGGACCGGTACAACCGGCTGGGGTTCGTTGGAGTCGGCCATTGCGAGAAAGCTTCAATTGAGCATTAGTGATGTTTCTGGATGAGTATATGGACCACTAGCCGTCGGCACAGACCTAATTACAGACAAAGGCGGGGGGGGGGGATGCCTGAAAGTGAATTAGAGCTAAATCAAGGAAGAGAGAAGGAGGATTGAATAGAGGAGAGGAGGGGATAACACACAGACACGAGATCAGATCGGGTGCGAACGTTCGAGCTCTGCTACCGAATTGAAAGGCGGTCGGAAAAACTAGGCTGGGCTGGGCTGGCTGGCTGGCTGGCTGGCTGGCTTGCTTGCTAACTGGCTTGCTAACTGGCAAGAACTGCTAAGTAAGTTAACTACTACCTAGTAACTGAAAGGAAAGCAAAGCATTCCGCCCGGGCGCCCGCCCGCCCGCTCGCCGCCTTTTCCCTCTGGCGTCAGTCCAACTTTTTCTCGAATAATAATTAGAATTAATCTCGGGAACACCAAATCCAAAAATTAAACCCCCCTCGCCCCTCCTCCTTCTCCTCCTCTTCCATACGGACGATGGTTGCTTCGTCCTGACCTGGTCAGAACAAGCGATCTTGATTTGAACTCTCCTCCAACGACCAGGTTACTTGACTGTCTCACATCTCCATTTCGAGATGCCTTCCGTCGCGGAGGTAGGTCGTTCTTTTGCGCCTGAAATTGTTTATATCTTCTTCTTGATAGGTAGATAAGTCGGCTAAATCATCGCATCTTTTTTTTCATACAGCGCCCGCGTTCGTCGCAGGAGGCTCTGCTCCGTCTCGAAAAAGGCACTGCATCTCCCACCGCACAGCTCAACGACGCTGCGAATATCATCGGCTTAGATCTCGCGCTATGTGCCAGTCACCCTGAAATCAACCGGACCCCCCACTTTCAGAACAACGCCGCCCCGAAAGCGGAATGGGTCCTCCGATGGTTGTTGAAGAGGCTGCGGACTGGAAAGAACTATCGCGTCGATGCTACCTCCTTCCTCCTACTCCGACAGTTGATCGATTTAATCCCGCCCAAGACACTGGCCACGACCCTGAAGGACCAGAGGTTTCTCGGAATTGTCCACGATGCTATCGCCGACCTGGAGGAGGATGTGCTGGCCGGATTAGGGGATGGGACCGCCGAGCTACTGCACTCCGGCTCGGAATCCAGTCACACTTTGGGCGATTCACCACACCGCAATGGCGACTCCGATAAGAAGGGAACCAAGAGGAAGAGGTCCGGCGCGGACGAACCCGATGCTATGGATATCGACGACCCGCCCCGTACTCCGACTTCCTGCTTTGTGGCCTTTATTCGCGCGCTGGACTGCATGTATAGCCTGGTTATGCTGATCGATCGGACATCGGGGGTCGACGATGTAGCGAGCTCGCATCTGAAGCACGCTCTTAAGGGGGAGCCCGAATCGGTCGCCGTCACGCTGCAGAAATCCTTCCGGCTCGCTGCCGTCATCACGACGCAACTCTTCCATGCGCAGCAAACTACAGACCTCCAGCATTTGCTCTACGTGCTTCCAGCCATTTTCGATCTGTGGGAGTTGAGGTCGTCTCGTCGTGACGATTCCGAAAAGGGGCTAAGTAATGTAGGTTGTGTGTGGAGCTTAATGTCCGGCGTACACAAGGCTAACTGCTCACTAGGAATGTTTTTCTAAACACTGCTTCCAAAGCGCTCTCAGACTACAGTTCTGCGTCAACTCAATACGCCTGGACACCGATGAAAGGGCCCACGTTCTGCACGGGCTAGAACGCCTCATCGCACTGCACGTGGTGCTCCCCGCCCGGTCCAGCTTCTTCGAGGGAGGCGGTTCCGGCATTGACTATTCAGCTAACGAGCCTGATTGGAGTCCCGTGAAGCCTGTCTCTGATACATTCAGGCCCCTCCTTTGCGCGCCAGAGAGTCCTAACCCGAGTACCAGTGACAATGCCGGCATTCAGAAAAAAGCCATGTGGAAGACCGCCGAGCTATTACCGGAGTTTTTCGACATTGCAGCACGCACAGTCCCTCGGGACACGTTCAGAAGACAGAACCATGAAGGTCCTTGGTTGGAAACCCTGTTTGTCGCAGTCGCCGAGCTGGCGTACTCCATCGCGAAGTCTGAGAACACGACAGCGTACTTTACCGAGTTTGTCGCCATTCTGGAACGCCTGTTTCGTGTGGTTCTTGCTAGAGACATTAAATTGTCCCTCCATACTTTGCTTACTCACGCTGCGTATACTGGTCTCCTCAAGGAAGGCCTGTCGCAAGTGGAGTGGAGCCTCGCCGCTTTGCTCATTGAACTAGGCACCGACATCTTCTTGCCCAACTCGGGGCTCAAGGACTCTGAGAAGTTGCTCAACGCTCTGCTAGAGAAGATCCTTTTGCACTGGCGCACCGGCGTTTCTCACGTCGATGATAGCTATAGGACGATCAAGAACGGCATTGTGATACCTCTTCTCCGTGGGTTCGTCGGCGCCCGGGACCTGCCAAATTTCATGCAGATATGGTACGAGCAGCTAATCGAGGTCGAAGAAGCCCGCTCGAAAGAGAAAGAGTTGACGCATTTCATTGTATGGGAAGACGATGACGTGTGCAACGAGTTCAGCGAGTTAATGCGGAATCCTCTGACCTACGCACACTCTGCTGCTCAGATGCGCGCGGCGGCAGTGGAGATCAAAGGAGACGATGGTAGAATTCAGAACTCTCCCGGCGCCTATGCGCAGATTGTGATTCTGGAATCTGGCTTCAGAAGCCGCGACCTTAGCTTCGAGGATAGGAACGAGGATTTGACGTCCATTATCCAGACTGTGACATCGACATTGTCGTCCGAACAGAAGTTACATTGGCGGTGGCGGCTGTGGCGGCTCGGCCGCAGTCTCCTGGAGAACAACGTACAGTCTACCGACAACGAACTTGGTATTGCCATTATCAAGCTTGTTGCTACGGCTGCAGAGTCGATACAGCGTGTTCACCAAGGCCGTATGAAGAAGCTTTGTGCGCCTCTAGAGTGCTTTGAGGCGTTCCAGTTTGCTCTTACCGCAATCAAAGCCACTGCAAACCCCGAACAATTCCGCTCTTTAACGAACGAGGTCACGACCCTCATAAAGTCCATCTCGGGCAAAGATGCCGCCAAATCCATCAAGTCCCCATGGGACGGACGTATTGAAACGCTCACGTCGCCCACCACACTTGCGTTGGCCTATTTCTTGAGCTTGGTTAGGAATCCTGATATATGGTCCCAGGTGGAGTCTGAAACCAGACGCTCTCTCTTTGCGCATGTTTTGTCGCTGGCAACTTCACAATATAAGCCATCGCCATCTACTCTCGAAACTGTCAATCCCGATTCCAAGTATCTTCAGGCTTGGGCAAGCCTCGTCTGCCATGAGTACCTTCTTAATGCTCCGTCAATCGCGGTCGATCTTATTGCGGTGCTGTCCGAGCGGGTCAAAGAAGACGTTCCTAATCGCAGACTATACATCGAAAGTCTCCAGAGAATTCCTGCCCCGCTTGTCACGCGTGGCCAGAGAGCGGTCTTGCTGGATTTGCTGCAGGAGGTCATCGCACAAGAAGGTAGCACTCCTGAGGTTACTGTGGGAATGCTGTCTCTGATGGCCAAGTTGGCCGAGATGCCGAAGTCTACGGCGGCCTTGACGAGCAACTGGGAGCCACTCTGGACGGTTGCCAAGGCGGTCTCTCTGCAAGGAAGCGATATCGACCTCCAGATCATGAAGGCTTACCGAAATCTCCACCGAGCAGTTATTGCAAAGTTGCTCGTTCTCTCCGACGATGAACGGCAGCGCTTGTTCAAGAAGATGTATCGCAAAGTGTCGGCCAAGGCACTTAAGCTGCAGTCCTTGAATCGTGACTCCATGGATTGCTTCTATCTTAGAATTTCGCTGTCTCAGCTGTGGCTCAACAGAAAGGCACTTGAGGGTGTCTTTGATGAGACCGAGCTTGCTGCTTGCCGTAAGAAAGTGTTTGACTTGGTGGTTGCGGAGGTCAAGTCGGTCAAGACACAGTGCAAGAAGCAGCAGCTGGAAGATACTATCACACTGATTAAGATCCTCGACGCGCTAGAGGACTTTGAAGACCTTGCGATGGAACACGCCGAGGTCGAGAAGTTCTTGTCCAGGATTGAAAGTTATGTTGAAAAGTCGGTTGACTCGGCTTCTGCCCTGAGAAGACTCATTCGACGACGTGTTTTGGCTGGGCGAGGATCCGAGAAGAGCATCACACAACCTGTCATCCAGTGTGCGGAATCCCTCCCCTTGCAACACATGTATAGCGAAGAGCAGCGAATCTTCATCCGCTCCACCAGTGCTAGGTTCCGAACCATGACTGCGGACGAATTGACCCGGGTGATCCAAGACATCCGCAAAATCGGCTTCGTTGGGGAGAACGCTGAGTATCACTTGCTTATCGCCGGTTTGGCTATTGCTTCACTGCCCTCCGTTGAAGACAAGGAAAGCCAGGTCGGCCACGAACTGGGGTTGGTCTTTACGGACGCCACCAATTCTTTGCTTCAGAACAAATCCATCGAACCATTTACATTCGCTACTGAGTGTTTGGATATCATACTGCGTAACCACACGCGCTGTGTCACGCAGTTCAACATCGATAACCTGTTGGGAACGATCGCCGTGTGTACCTCCAAGTCTGGTCCCTGCATCGACCCTGCATACGCTGGAACTGTCTATATCCGTCTCTGCCGCATTATGGGTCTCCTTCTCGGTCTTCACCGTCAAAAACTTGGCGGCCGCTTCCACCTTATCAATCCTGTTATCAGTGGCTTGCTGGATTGTCTCTTTGCTCGCTCCAAGAAGCGCAGTCGATCCATGTTGCACGAAAAGAAATCGGGGCAGCAGCCTTATTGGCTTGCTCCATTGCAGGCCTCGCACGCTGTGCACTTCACCCGTCTTCTAACCTCCCTTTGCGACCCGACGGTCTCGGCCGTCTCGAGGCCAACGCAATCTGGTGTGGGCTTCGAAGGGTTGACCGATCAGACGAAGAAGGCCAAGCGCATTGCCGGCCAATATCTTCAGTATTTGATCCAGGATTATACGCAGAGCGCTCTTCGCGGGTCTCTTTCACCCGACGTGAAGGCGGCGATCATCCCGGGTCTGTATGCCGTGCTCGACGTGATGTCGCGTGATACGATGCGGGCGCTGAATGCAGGACTGGATGTCTCTGGCCGGGCGGTGTTCAAGGCACTCTATGATGACTATGTGAAGTTTGGAAAGTGGAATAAGGGTTAGTAGGTCAAGTCAGAGTATGGGGTGATGGTGGTGGTGGCGGTGGTCCGGTTTGTTGATCATGACATGGTGATGTGTCCGTGTCATTGTGTATTTATTACCTTGCATTGTCCTGGGGTTTGGCTGAGTGGGTCTGTTTTGAGGGATCATAGATGGCATGTATTGTACTTTGCAATGATTTACAAGGCAACAAGCCTGTGCTTACGGCAACCACTCGATTTCTTAAGAGCTTGTCGATTTGAAGGAACTCAGGTATGGGTGATATGGAGCAATCTCTCTTGTATTTGAGCATTGACATGGTCAAGTAACGTTGTAGTCACGTACAGGCGAATTTGTAGCAAAATTACATGGAATTGCATGACTAAATTTCACCTAAACTGACATAACCCCTGATTCGCTCTAGATGAAGCTCAAATAGCTTTCTAGATGGAGATAACCTACTATAATTCATATCATGCTCCAGAGAAACTCATCAATAAGCTAGTTCTGCAGTATATGCAGTTGTTTATGCTATGGTTTATCTAGTAGTCCATCTAAGCTTTGAGGCGAAGCTTAAAAGGCTATGTTGAATAGGTTAGGTTAAACTATATAGGCTTCAATGCCCTGAAATAAAGGTACTTAGCCGCTGGCTCCAGGCGCAGGGTCTTTCTTTCCACTCACTGAAATGAGCTATTGGCTATGGAAAGACCTAGAATCACTCTACAAGATGTATAAGAGTTGTACCTCTACATCTATTTCTGCCCGTATCATCTATACTAGTGGACAAAAGCAGGATCATGCTGATGACGCCTCAGAGAGGTGGAAGATGCTTGGATTCTGACTACGTCAGGCTAACTGCGAGGAACTAGCTAAGGCCTCCGGGGTGGGCGGTGAGCGAGCAGCTTCAGGCAAGGCCCCAGGCCGCCGTTACATGCTTATCACGCCATTCACCACATCCCTGAACGCTGGCTCGGGAGCTGTGGCTCAGAGACAAGTGAATGACATGAAGTGTTCCTATCACATCAATACTATGGACCACGGGAGAGGCGCAGGCGAGTCCGGTTATCTCGCTGCCTGCCTAATCTGCCACTCGCATGGGTGAATGGCCTGTGGCGCGCCTATTAGCTGTGCGGCACAGCAATCGGTTGGAAGAGTGAATGCATCCGGGAACTCGCAGCCTTGTCCACGGTGTCAATGACGAGTCTCAGATCAGGCTGTGCTGTGCCGTGCCACCTGTGGTTCAAATGCTATATATCTGCATCGTCTGTTTCTTCTGTCTTCATTCAACCCACCCTCCTCCATCACCAAACGCAAGCCCGTCGAGAGGCAGGCTATCACAATGGCATCTCGTACTCGCACTGACCGGCTCGCCAAGTACTTCAACCTCGTCCTCGGCGGTAACCGACCGGTTGCCACCGTCGAGAACTTCACACTGCTCCTGGAAGCGATTGCCGAGCAGAAGCACGACCGCGCAGCATGCGTGGAGCGCATCGTCGCCAGCCCCGCGGCGCGCCACGCCATCCACGCCGGGCTCCGACTCGCCACCGACCCCGACTTCTTGAACCAGCACACGGCGGCCTTCCTACAGTACCTCTCTGACCCAGCTGTCAAGACCCTCTGCAGCGGCCAGCATCTGCGAGTTCTGCTGGGGCTGGTGGTCGAGCCGCGCACCGTGTGGAATGCGTTCATGACGGCCTTCCACGCCCAGCGCCTCACCGAGCCGGCCGTCCAGGCCCTGGCCTGGCTCATGATCGAATGTCTCATCACCCACGCGGGGGCCACCGACGGGGCAGATCTGGTGAACGATGCCCGGTCCGTGGTCGACACTGGCGCTCTTCTGCAGTCGACATCCCCGGCAACTCGCGCCTACGGCCACAAGCTGCAGCAGTTGGTAGCGCTCCAGGCCAGTTCGATGGGTACGGCCTTCGAGAACGCCGACTACGTCCCCGGCGGGCGGCACGACAATGACCCCGTCGACTATCGCCAGATCGCCATCTATCCCACCCACGACGAGTTGTTCCGGTCGCCCGAGAAACCGTTCTACCGGCGCGCGGCCGAGATCCGGCGTCTGCCTGTCGAGCAGCGGGCTGCCGGCCATCTCGATAATCAGTTCCGGCTGCTGCGCGAGGACATGCTCGCGGACATCCGCGAGCAGCTGCAGGCGATTAGGGGCAGGAAGAAGCAGAGGAGAAGACGTGGGACGGCGACGACGCTCACGGGCTTGTCTTTGGAAGGGATCTGCACTGGCACCGGGAAGCGGATGACCCCCTGCGGCCTGGTGATCGCCTGTCGGCAGGGTCTGGAGGCGTTGACGGCCCGCGGGGACAAGGAGGGTCGCAGGGCGTTTCTGAAGAGCGACCGCGGCTATCTCCGCCATCAGTCGTTTGGCTGTCTGCTCGTCCGCGGCGGGGGTGGGGAGGAGATTGTCGCCTTCGCCACGGTGGATCGGCAGGTGGACTATCTTCTCGAGGAGGTCCCCAAGATCGTCTTGCGGGTCGTCGGGGACGAGGCCGTGAGGAAGACGCTCGCTTCCTTCGCGCTCGACCGCGACCTCGTCTTCGCCTTGGTCGATACCGCTGTGTTCGCCTACGAGCCTATTCTCAGACGTCTCCAGGAGAAAGCGGAGCTGCCTCTGGCGGAGGAGTTGCTGGACTATCGACATGGTAGCGAGATCGCCCGGGCCCACACTGTGGATGAACGGCTGGTTGAGGGGCTGGATCAGGGTGTACGAACACTGCAGGACGTGCTCACCACTGACAGACCCATCCGCCTTGATGCATCGCAGATGCAGTCGTTTGTGTCTGGCCTCACGCAGAAGATCAGCTTAATTCAGGGCCCACCAGGTAACTACGTTTTTCCTATACTTGAGTGACAGCGACTGGCTGACCTGGATCGTTGTGCTAGGGACTGGAAAGTCGTTCGTCGGTGCTCTCATCGCCAAAGCTCTATTTGACCACAGTAAAGAAGCTATACTGGTGATGTGCTACACGAACCATGCCCTGGACCAGTTCTTGGAAGATCTGCTGGACATTGGGATCAGTCCATCGGCTATCGTTCGACTGGGCTCCAAGTCCTCGCAACGGACGGGGTCGCTCAAGCTCTCTGAGCAGCAGACCAGCTCGAGGCGGACCCCGGCTACCTGGCGGATTCTTGATGAGATCAAAGAACAGGCTACGGACTTGCGGGAGACTCTCGACGGCGCTGCTGGGAACCTTCTCAACTTCAAGACCCACCCCGACACCATCCTTGAATACCTTGAGTTCGAGGAGCCAGACTATTATGAAGCATTGAGCCCCCCAGACAACTCCGACGGGATGACTCTCGTCGGTGAAGGCGGCAAGGCAGTCACCTCGCATTACTTGTACAGTCACTGGGTGCAAGGGAAGAACTACCCCACGGCAATCCCCAATCAGCTCAGCGAGCAAGCCAACGGTGTGTGGCGAACGAGCAAAGACACTCGCCAGGCAAAGCTGGAATCTTGGACCAAGCTCCTGCTCGAAGAGCAGGTCACTAATATCCAGAGTCTGATGCGCAGACTGGACAAGTGCGAGGCAAGGCGCGCAGAGCTGTGGAGCGAAGCGACCCGCGAGAGCCTCCGGTCGAAGCGGATCATCGGATGCACCACGACTGGGGCCGCAATGCACGCTCGAGATCTTGGTGCTGTGTCCCCGGGCATCGTGCTCCTGGAAGAAGCCGGGGAGATCCTCGAGTCGCACGTCCTCACGGCCCTGGGATCCGACACCAAGCAGCTGATCATGATCGGCGACCACCAGCAACTGCGACCCAAGATCAACAGTTACAGCCTGTCGGTGGAGAAGGGCTCGGGCTACGACCTGAACCGGTCCCTCTTCGAGCGATTGGTGTTGTCGGGATTCCCGCATTCCACTCTAGCAAAACAGCACCGCATGGTACCGGAAATTTCCTCCCTCGTGCGCAGACTGACGTACCCGGAGCTTCAGGACGGCGAAAAGACTTTGGATCGACCCGCCCCGAGGGGGCTGCAGGATCGCGTCATCTTCATTGACCATCGCCATCCGGAGGGGAGCTTGGGTGGGGTGGCTGACAGGAACGACAGTGGTGGTAACGCAAGCAAGCAGAACCCTTTCGAGGTGCAACTGGTTCTCAAAATCGTTCGATATCTCGGCCAGCAAGGGTATGGCACGGACAAGTTGGTGGTACTGACTCCTTACCTGGGCCAGCTCCATCTCCTCCGTGAGGAGTTGCGCAAGGAAACAGACCCTGTACTCAATGACCTGGACTCCTATGACCTCGTCCGTGCAGGACTGATGACCCAAGCGAGCGCGCAGCACGCCAAGCGACCGATCAAGCTGTCCACTATCGGTAAAATAAGAGTTCCTCGGTTCGATACGAGTACTTGCTAACCGGCTCACAGATAATTATCAGGGCGAGGAGAGCGAAATTGTCATCGCGAGTTTGACGAGAAGCAACAAGAACGGAGACATCGGCTTCATGGCGGCCCCACAGCGGCTCAACGTACTCCTCTCCCGCGCTCGAGATGTCCTCATCATGATCGGAAACTCGAGCACTTTTCTGGGTAGTAAGAAAGGGGAAGGTGTTTGGCGGCCTTTTGTCGATCAGATCCAGACGAGTGGACACCTGTACGATGGCCTGCCCGTCAAATGCGAGCAGCACCCCAAGACACTAGCAGTTCTCCAATCGCCTGACGACTTCGACGCAAAGTGCCCTGATGGAGGGTGCGAACAGCCGTGGTGAGTTGCTGGTTTGTTGATTTTGGTGGTATCGACGGTGGCTAATCAGCGCGACAGTGGGACGAAGCTAAATTGCGGGCTGCATGACTGTCCCCAGAAGTGTCATCAGCTGTCAGATCATTCCAAAATGCAATGCCAAGCGGCTATCGATTGGATATGCCCGCGCAACCATAAACAGATAACACCATGCTTCCAGCACAAGGGGCAGTGCCGTCGTTGTGCGGAGGAAGACAGGGAGGCCGAGCGCCGACGGCAACGGGACATGGACCTCGACGCAAAGCGGCAAGCCAAGCAGCAGGAATATGCACGCCAGCTAGCCCTAATTCAAGATGAGATTGCCGTTGAAAGACGACTCCAGCAAGAGAAGCGGGACGAGGAGGAACGCCAGCGTGTTCTCCAGCAAACCCTCGACGATCTCGAACAGTTGAAAACGCGTGGTGCCGAACGCAAGAGAGACACCTCGCCAACTGCTGTCAACGCTGACCAGGCCAGTCAAAATCCCGAAACACTGCCCGATCGGAGCAAGAATCTCAGCCAGACAGTAGCAGCAGCAGCAGCAGCAGCATCATCATCAAAGGCTACGGCTAGCCCCGCCGGGATGCAAGCTTTGTCTCCCTCGGCGCAGGACTGGGCATACCAGAAGAAGTACGAAAGCGCACAAAGCAAGGAGCTAGACCAGCTGATGGGGATGATCGGGCTGGAGAGCATCAAAGCCAAGTTCCTCAACATCAAATCCCAAGTCGACGCCGCGGTCAGGCAGAACATTGATTTCCACGCCGATCGGTTCGGCTCAGTCCTCCTCGGAAACCCGGGGACGGGGAAGACCACCGTTGCACGCATCTACGCGAAGTTCCTCACGGCTATGGGGATCATTCCCGGGAGCTTTATTGTCGAGACCACCGGATCGCGACTCGCCAATGGTGGCGTGTCCGACTGCGAGAAGCAGATTAACAAGATCCTCAACAGCGGCGGGGGCGTGCTTTTCATCGACGAGGCTTATCAGCTGGCGCAGAGCAATGGCCCGGGGTCCCAGGTCCTCGACTTCCTGCTGGCCGAGATCGAGAATCTCACGGGAAAAGTGGTCGTGGTTCTGGCCGGATATCGACGGCAGATGGAGAAGTTCTTTGCCCACAACCCTGGCCTCCCGAGTCGGTTCCCGCATGAATTCGTCTTTGAGGACTACACCGAGCCGGAGCTCCGTCGGATCCTCGAGTTTCAGGTCAACAAGAAGTTCCGAGGGAAGATGAAGGTCGAGGACGGTATGGACGGATTGTACTGCCGGATCGTTGCGCGTCGGATCGCCAGACAACGGGGCCATGAGGGCTTTGGCAATGCGCGCACGGTGGAAAATGCCCTCGCGCGCATCACGGCGCGCCAGGCCGCACGACTCGCCTGTGAAAGAAGGACCAAGACCCTAGCTTAACCGCCCGTCGATGATTTCCTGCTCACAAAGAACGACCTTCTCGGTCCCGAGCCCAAGAAAGCGCTGCAGGATTGTTCTGCTTGGAGAAAGCTGCAGGATATGATCGGTCTGGCCGCTGTCAAGAATACCGTCCGCGCCTTGTTGGACAGCATGCAGGCGAACTACGAGCGCGAGGTCAAGGAGAAGCCTCTGGTCGAGTTCACACTCAACCACGTGTTCCTTGGGTCACCGGGAACAGGTAAAACGACGGTCGCTAAGCTCTACGGGCAGATTCTTGTTGACCTTGGATACTTGTCGAACGGTGAAGGTGAGTGGTACAGTGATTCCAGTGTTCGGTGGCGAAAGATGTCTAACCGTGTGATTGGTTCTAGTGATTGTCAAGAACCCAGCAGACTTCATCGGGAGTGTCATCGGCGGATCGGAGCAGAATACAAAAGGTATTCTGGCATCCACTCTGGGAAAGGTTCTCGTCATCGATGAAGCCTATGGTCTGTTCGGCGGTGGAACTCGCGACGCAAGCGGCTCGAACTCCAACCAATTCAAGACAGCGGTGGTTGATACAATCGTCGCAGAGGTGCAGAGCGTTCCGGGTGACGATCGCTGTGTCCTGCTACTGGGATACGAGGAGCAGATGAAGGAGATGTTCCAGAACGTCAATCCGGGGCTTGCCAGGCGATTCGCTATCGATGATGCCTTTGCTTTTGCCGACTTCTCCGACCTCGAGCTGCGACAGATCCTCGATCTCAAGCTGGAAGATCAGGGGTTTGTCACCTCCGACAAGGGTGCCAAGGTGGCGATGGAGATCCTCGCCCGTGCTCGCAACCGTCCGCACTTTGGCAACGCAGGCGAGATTGACATTCTGTTGAACGGCGCCAAGCTCCGTCAGCAACAGCGACGGTCGGCCGGGATCGGCAACCCTAGTCTCGAGCACTTGGAGCCTCAGGGATTGGGACCCCGAGTATGATCGGGGAGAACGGAACGAAACGAATATCCGGATGCTGTTCCAAGACACCGTCGGCTGCGACGCCATTATCGAGAAGCTGGAAGATTTACGCCTGGCCGTCAAGAACCTCCGAGCGCTTGAGATGGACCCCAGGCAACAGGTGCCGTTCAACTATCTGTTCCGGGGGCCTCCGGGAACCGGTAAGACAAGTACAGCCAGAAAGATGGGCCAGGTGTACTACGATCTGGGTCTGCTGTCATCCGTGGAGGTCGTCGAAAGCTCAGCAACGGATTTGATAGGGCAGTATATCGGTCAAACTGGTCCCAAGACGCAGGAGCTACTGGAGAAATCGCTCGGCAAGGTTCTCCTGATCGACGAGGCCTACAGACTCGCCGAAGGGCAATTTGCGCAGGAGGCAATGGATGAGATTGTCGACTGCATCACCAAGCCCAAGTTCTTCCAGAAACTTATCATCATTCTAGCAGGATACGACCAGGACATCAATCGTCTCATGACCATCAACCCAGGCTTGACCAGTCGGTTTCCGGAAGAGCTTGAGTTCGCCAGCCTTACACCCAACGCTTGCATCCAGCTCCTCACGAAGCTGCTCCAGAAGCAGAAGTCCAATTCCTCGCAGAAGACCACCGGGTTTGACCTGGACGCATTGGAGTCTCCGCGGGCCGAGTTCACCAAGGAATTGCGGGGCCGATTCACGAGACTCACGCAGACCGCGAACTGGGCCAATGCGCGTGACGTCCAGACCATCTCGAAATCAATCTTCAGAGCTGCGATCATGGCCATGCGTGACAAGACGATCGTCATCTGCGAGGATCATATCAGCGGAGAGATCGACAAGATGCTGTCAGAGCGCACCAAGCGCACAGCAAACAAGTTCGTCTCCAGGAATCCTACGCTCGATTTACTCCAATCCCAGGGATTCGGTCGGCAGCCCGTCACCCCGGTGCTCACCACAGCATTCAACCCGCCTGCAGCCTCCGAGGATGCAGCCGCAAACAGGAACGAACCTGCTGCGCCTCCAGCGACCCCAGCACCGGAGGAGACCCGTCCAGGCGCTATCACCAGGGACGATGAGGTATCGGATGAAGTCTGGGAGCAACTCGAACGAGACAGACAAGCCGCACAGGCAGCAGAGGACCGATACAAAGCATTGCTCGACGCGGAGCGCGAGGCGGAGAAAGCAGCTAATGACCTACCTTCTGATCCCCCCGATCCTCCGGCCAGAGTGTCTGACCCCGTAGTCGACGCGGAAGCTAAAAAGCAGCGTGAACAGCGCCGGCTCGAAGAGCTAGCTCGGCGAGCGAGACTGGAGGAACTTCGAAGGCAGCGTGAGTTGGAGGAACAGGCCAGGAAAAAGGAACAACAGATCCAACGGAAGCTGCGTTCTATGGGCGTTTGTGTTGCTGGATACCAGTGGATCAAACAGGAGCGCGGGTATCGGTGTGCGGGAGGCAGCCATTACATCACGAATGAGACTTTGGGGGTCTGAGTCGGCTTGCTGGGATAGTTTGAGGATGGCTTGATTGTAGATCAATGATCGTTTTTGTTCAAGCTCATACTCGGAGGGAAGATGTCACGAACGCATGTTCCGTATACTCGAGGGTTCTTGTCCGTCATTTGATGTAGAAGATTGTGCAAAGCCTGGTCATCGATTATTGATCAACGGCGAAGGACAGTTCGAGCGGGTAGAAGATGGAAGATATCATTAAGAGCTGTATTCAAGATTCCAATTTAGTCTCATCGTTGTGTGTTAGATTTAGTACTGAAGCAAGACTATTCGTAGGTATTGCAAGCAGTAAGGTAAGTTAGTTAACTAGTTGGGCTACTGGTTATGAGTGGGCTACGCCGACCAGATGAGTCAGCCAGCATAACTTAATGTGCGACAGCGGCATTAGCAGCGACATCGGATCTCTGTTCTTCCAGGCATCCTCCACTGTCCAGACCGGACCCGTGGGGAAACAAAAAGTGCGGACAGGACGGGCATGGGCTGATACCTTCAGTTATACGAGTATCTTATATCTTTTACTCGATCTCATCGAGTCAGCGGGCCCCCCCCCGAGATGATTAGATACTACTACGAGTATCATACTAGGCGATATTAAGAGATACGCCCCACCAGGCCACCTTCTTTTTGCGGAGAAACCAGTGGAGAGGAATTTGGTCTCGCTCCACTCTCGCTGATAACGCTCGCTTGGCCAGGAATTGGAATTTGCTTTACTCGACCGAATCGAGCAACAAAAAATGATATCCATCTACGATAATCAATTCATTTCATCAGTGGCACCGTAGGTGGTTAGGTACTGGCACGGGTGCCTCATCGCGCTCGGGGCTCCCGTTCCACCATCCATGGCGAGCGATAAGAGAGGCCCATGGCTGAATGATCTTCGGCCCATCTGACCAATTTTCGACTCCTTATCTTGCGTCAATCGAATTGGTCCTTGTCGTCCTTTTTCATGTCATGATGGCGTACGGGGAAAATGCCACTATCAGGGGCCCTCGGGGCCCAGCTGATTGGCTTGCCGAGAGAATCAATGACGAGGGCGATGATACGGTACGTTCCGACTCACCTCCCAGTCGATCCCACCCGTTTATCTGTTATAGCATCTGGTATATATATACTCAGACTAACTTATACATCGCTGCGATGGCTGCCTGGCTTAGCTGGTTCTTTACTACCTCCTTCTCTCTTCATTGCATACCTCCCTGCCCTTCCATCTCCCATCCAGCAGGTTGAGTCTCTCGTCCATCCACTCATCGTCGAAAAGATCGCGCCTTCCCCGCCAATCTTGTACATACTACCTGTTGGGCATCGCGAGATTTCGACTGGGCTGGCCTAGCTTTGGAGTGCATCGCCTATCCCCTTCACCACCGCTCATTCCGACTATCACACAGACATGGAAACAACTCGTCTGCAACGATGGCTGAAGAAATTGGAGGTGTCCGCGGAGCCTGGATTGTCCAACACTCAGCTGATGTTGATGAACCATGATTTACAACCAGGTACGTTGGTTGATCGGTGGGAGGGTTGCGGTTTGCGACGTGATACTCGCTCTAGCTCTTGCGCACAGACTGACTGGGATGGTTTCGGATTCCTGCAGTTGAACATGAACGTCGACAATGGGGATGGTACAACTTCGTCGCCTTTTGGATAGCAGATTCTCTCAATATCGTGAGTACCGCTGCGAGCATCTTAGCCGACCACGGCCTGCCGCCTTCTGGGCTGACAGAATTCGCTTGTCCGACTAGAATACCTGGATGATCTCCTCCTCGATGATTGTGGATGGCCTGTCATGGTGGCAGTCGTGGATATGTGTCTGGGTTGGGTACTTCATTGCCGCGTGTTTTGTGTGCTTGACTGGTCGCATTGGTGCCGTCTACCACATCTCCTTCCCTGTCGCCTGCCGCTCCAGTTTCGGCATCTGGGGGTCCTTCTGGCCCGTATTCAATCGAGCTGCCATGGCTGTCGTGTGGTACGGTGTCCAAGGCTACATCGGAGGTAAGGAAGCCCTGGCGCCGTTGCTACGCGAACCAGCCGCGATGGCTTGATCGGAGTATATCTGATGTGTAACAGGCGAGTGTGTGACCCTGATGATCCGATCCATATGGCCCAGCTACAACAACCTGCCCAACGGGATCCCTGCCAGTGCCGGCGTCGATACGAAGAACTTTCTGAGTTTCTTCCTGTTCTGGCTGCTATCTCTGCCCGCGCTCTGGTTCCCCGTGCACAAGATCCGTCATCTCTTCACCGTCAAGGCCATCTATTCGCCCATCGCTGCCATTGCGTTCTTCGCTTGGGCCATCTCCCGCGCCAACGGAATCGGCCCCATTGTCCACCAGCCCGCCTCGGTGCACGGCAGCGTCCTGGCCTGGGCCGTGGTGAAATCGATCATGAGCTGCCTGAGCAACTTCGCCACTTTGATCGTGAACGATCCGGATTTCTCCCGGTTCTCGCGGACACCGAAAGATGCGCTGTGGTCCCAACTGCTTACCATCCCGATCGGATTCGGAATCACCTCATTCATTGGAATCATCGTTTCCTCGTCGTCGGCCGTCATCTTCGGCGGTGACTTTGTCTGGAACCCCCTGGACCTGCTGGGCAAGTTCTTGGACGGGGCAAGCTCCGCGGAGCGCTTCGGGGTGTTCATCATCTCGACGGGCTTTGCGCTGGCGCAACTGGGGACCAACATTTCCGCCAACTCGGTCTCTGCGGGTACCGATATGACGGCCCTGCTCCCTCGATACATCAACATCCGCCGAGGAAGCTATGTCTGCGCCGCGATCGGCTTGGCGATGTGTCCAGTATGACGATCCCTGTTCTTATGACTTGTACAAGGACTTTGACTAACCGAGCCTAGTGGAAACTCCAATCGTCGTCGAACCAGTTCACCACCTACCTGTCCGCCTACTCCGTCTTCCTATCCTCCATCGCGGGCCCCATCGTGTGCGACTACTACCTCGTTCGCAAGGGCTATCTCCAAGTGAAGGACCTGTACAACGCGAGCCGCAGTTCGCCGTACCATTACATCTGTGGCTTTTCCTGGCATGCATACGCCTCGTACATTGCGGGCATTCTCGTCAACATTGTGGGCTTTGCCGGAGCGGTGGGCCGGGAAGTGCCGGTTGGCGCGCAATACATCTACAACATCAACTACTTTTCCGGCTTCGTCGTGTCGGCCGTGATGTACTATGCGCTGACGCGCTTCTTCCCCATCCCTGGCACCAGCGACACGTGGCATGAGGTCAAGGTGGAGGGTGTTCTGTCGATCGCGGACGGCGAGGAGGTGGACGGCGAAGAGGAGAACACTGCGGGCAAGCCGATAGACTTTGCGGCGACTGTTGATCAGAAGCATCCAAAGTCGCGGGCGTCCTCGCTTGTATGATGATTGATGATGAGACACGATTTCTTTTCTTATGATGACAGTGCACTAGTTTGTTGCCTGATGACGAGCACAACCATTTTTGTAATTTGACACATACCCACACAGAATCATACCGCTATCACCGGGGTTTCTGCCGGGATAGGGTTGCATCTCCATGCTTAGTAATTTCCTGAGTTCGTATCTGGTGGAATACTCGAACCTTGTAGCGACCAGATTTACTCCGAGTCCGCGGCGGGGCTGCTTGAGGAGACAGTGACCGGCTGCTTCAAGTGGCACGTGGGGACAATATACCGTATGTACCAGGATTCCCCCGTGTGAACGCTAAGTATAGTTACTCCGCGGGTTCATCAGCTTCTTCTTCCTTTGTTTCTTTTTGCCGAGCTACCCTCCCAAGGTAGTGTAGTCGCTGAGTAAGAATGCACAGGTATACAGTACAAAGTCGGTGAGTGACTGCAGCCTTTCAACAGGCAAAAGCATGTCATCTGGTGATACTCTTCGCAGCGCTCTCTCGACCCGTTCGTTGTGGGTGGTCTAGCATCTTCCAGTTATCCAGTCATCTACCCCTTTCCGTCATCGTCTGCGCTGGCTGTGCTCACGATATCGTGGAATCAATCTACTTGCCTCGACGCCCTACGCGCCGCGACGATGACTGCAGCCATCCTGCTCGTCGTCCAGTTCCTGCTGGCCGATCTCCTCGCCCAGCTGCTTTACCGTTGCTATTTCCACCCGCTGGCGCGCTATCCGGGTCCCTTCCTGGCTCGGTTTACGAATATCTGGTAGGTCGGCGGTTTCTCTTTGCTGGCGATCCATGGAGCCGGACTCAACTGGAATGATCTGGGCTGGGCTGGGCTGAGCTGAGCTGGGCTAAGCTGAGCTAGGCTGTTGGGGAACACTTAGATGTGTACATATCATGTGTGTGTGTGTGTGTGTGTGTGTGTGTGTGTGTGTGTGTGTGTGCTAATCCAGCCCCAACCCCAGGCGCTTCGCAAGCTTCCTCCGCGGCCAGCACCACCTCACCGAAGAGAAACTGCACCAGCGCTACGGCCCGATCGTCCGGGTCGCCCCGGACTGGCTCTCGTTCTCGCAACTGCCCGCCTTCGAGGCCATCTACGGCTTCCACAAGGCGATCGAGAAGGACGACTTCTACACCTTCGGGGCGCCGCGCCCCCAGACCGACGTCAGCGTCTTCGCCACGCAGTCGAACCCCGTCCACCGCCAGAAGCGCCGCAGGATGCTGGCGCCGGCCCTGACGCGCACCAAGGTGCTGCGCTACGAGCCGGTGATCGCCAGACATGTGGCCGTGTTGGTTGCGCGGCTGGAGGCGGGATTACGGGAACAGGAGGAGGGGCGGCAAGCAGATTCCGGACAAATGGAGGTGGAGGTGGAGGTGGAGGTGAACGTGGCGCCGCTCGTCCACCGCTTCACCCTGGACGTGATGCTGGACATCCTCTTCGGGCCGGCGGTGGGCCCGCACCCCTACACGGACAACGAGGTCGCCGGGGACCTCGGCGCCAGCATCCGGTATGTGAGCAGGATGGTCTGGAGTTACTCGCTCTGGCCGGCGTTCGGGTGGCTGATGAATACCCGTCTGGCGGTGGCTTGTCTGCGGCGGCCCCGGTATAATGCGGCCGGCGCGATGGTCGGGTTGAACGGGCTTATGCACCGCGCCGCCGCGGCGATTCTGGGGACTCCGGAGGTTTTTGTTCGGGCGGAGGGTTCGCAGCAGCAGCAGCAGCAGCAGCCGGGGATTGTGGAAAGCTGGCTTAGGGTGGGGATGGGGATGGGTTCGTCGGCGGATGGTGTTGCAGACAACCACCAAAAAATGACGCCGGCGGAAGCTGTGTCCGAGGCCTTCAATTTGGTGTTTGCTGGTCCCGGCAGCATGGCTGCTGCCTTGACGGCGGTTCTTTACCAGTTGGGTCTTCCGGAGGGTCAGGTCTGGCAGGAGAAGCTGCGCGCTGGCGCGGGGAGTGAGGCGCTGGAGGGCTCGATCTCGATGGAGGGCTCTTCGCCGTCGCTGTCGCCGCCGCTTGAGCTACAGGCTGTCATCAAAGAGACCCTGCGCTTTCGCGCCCCCTTTCCGACGGCGTTCCCGCGAGTGATACGGTCGGGTGCCGAGATGGCCATCCCGGGCCTGTCCCATCCCCTGCCGGCGGGCACGACGGTCTCGGCCAGCACGTATGTTCTGGGTCGGTCGCGGGAGATCTGGGGCGAGGATGCCGACCAATGGGTCCCGCAGCGCTGGTTGTTGGGGAGCGCCGACAACGACGACGACGACGACGAAGAATCTCGTCGGCAGATGGACCGCCGGTTCGTGGCGTTCAGCAGAGGGCCCCGGGGCTGCAGTGGGCGCGATCTGGCGTCGCTTATTCTTGCCAAGGCTGCGAGGGCGATCGTGCAGCGGTGGAGATTCTCTGCGTCTGCTGCGGCTGAACTGCGGGGCGCGAGCTTTCTGGAAATGCAGTATGACCTGTGCCAGCTCCGATTCGTGCAGCGGTCGTCGTCGTCGTCCGATTGATCATCGTGACGACGGTGGGTGACTCAAAGAACCAGCTGTAGTACATCGGGGACCCTTTTGGGATGCCGAAGAGGAAGGCTGAGTCGAAAGCTGAGAGACGAAAGGTGGTGGATTAGATGCGATGATACCGCTTTGGGATCCCGCCGCGGATCTCGTCCCCACCCGTTGACTCGAGTACGAGTATATAATGGAGCTCATGGGAGCTCTTGCTTTTGTCGATCGCTGGTTTCAACCCACTCGACATCTTTTTTTTTACCCCTCCTTTCTTTTCTAACTCTCTACGTATCCGAACGGTGGTGTTGAAGTCCTGTTTCCCGACCATCCTCCACCAGGGACTCCAACGATGCTGTCCGGCGGCGCTCTGCCCCAGACTCTGGGCTCGATTACCGCCACCAAAATCAACGAACTCTCAAAGCAACGGAAGTTGTTCGAGCAAAGAAGGAAAGAGATCGCCAAAGCCGCCGAAGATGCCACCGATCTACGCACAAAGACCAAAATTCTGCTGGAAGGGGTGACCAGACTCAAGGGCTATCCGAACATCGCCATCGACCGTCACGACGATCTGGATGCAGACCATTCCGCAGGCGGCGACACGTTCGTGAAAGACCTGTCCGAGGGCGCGGAGTACGCCAACATCCGACGCTTTCTCCTCCAGAGCCAGTATGATCCGTCCGTCTCGGAGCGCAGCCTCAAGGGCTGGATCGCCAAGCTGGAGAAGGAGCTTCAATTCCTGCAGCTCCGACACGAGCATGCCTCCTTCTACAGTGATCTGGTGACGGAGTGGCTGGGCGACCTCAATGCGGGGGAGCCTGTTGCTCCGAGTGCAGCCGGTGCTGGCGCCGGCGCCGACGAGAACAGTGCGAGCTTCGAGCAGGTCGGGCGCGCCGAGATGCACGAACAGCGCGCCAAGTGGGAGTCCCTGGTTTTCACCGAGGCGGACATCGATGCCGCGGCGATCCGCTCGTATCTAGACGGCATCTTCGAGACGTCGACGCAAACCCAGCAGGCGCTGAAGGGGCTGCGCGACAAGATCCGGTCCTTCGGCACTGAGTTTGCGTCCAAGAAGACCTGGTTCAAGGCGAAGGATCTCGCTTGGATCTCCAAGTCGCTGCTGAGCTCGGACCTGCTCACCAAGGAGAAGACGGCCATCCTGAAGGAGTTCATGCGCAACCCCGCCGTCGCCCAGGAGGTCGCTGACGTGCTCAACATGCGCCTCGGCGCACTGGACACCTGGGCCTGGTCCGGGGAGGGCATCCCGGTCGAGATGCGCCGGCAGCTGAACGGCAAGTACCGGGTGTCCATGGATGAGGATCTGCTGGACAGCCTCATGTTCCAGTACCTCGGCGTGCGGTGGGCGGTGGCCCTGCGGTCGGCCCTCGAGGAGTTCCTGGGGTCTCCGGCCTGGAAGTCGCTGCGCGACGAGGTCTCGGAGGAGGAAGTCGTGCGGCGGTCGCGCTTCCGGAGGGAGTCGGTGAGCCAAAGCTCCGGAGTCCAGTCGGTCCACGCATTGCGGAAGAACACGTTCAAAGAGGAGTACTTCATGACCTCGTTACCCAGCTCGGTGAACGATACCTCCGACCCCTACGCCGAGGAGGACGCCGACGACGCCGACGAGGACGAAAAGAAGAAAAAGAACGGCATGGAGATCAAGCATTCGCTGCTCCATCTCCTCATCACCGAGTCCCTGATCTACACCTCCCTGCATGGAGAGTTCACGGCCATCCGGTCGGACTTTGAATATTTCGGACCCTCCCTCGCCCACACCACCATCTCGACGGTGCTGGAATACTTCGGAGTCCCGCAGACCTGGCTGCACTTCTTCGACACCTTCCTCAAGGCCCCCATTTCGTTCGTCCAGGACGGCCCCACGGCCTCCGTGTCGGTCCGCAGACGCGGAGTGCCCATGAGCCATGCGCTCTCGGATTTCTTCGGCGAGGCGGTGCTGTTTTGCATGGACTTTGCCGTGAACCAGAGCACGGACGGCGGCTACCTGTACCGGCTGCACGATGACTTCTGGTTCTGGGGTCACGAAGACACCTGCGTCACGGCGTGGCAGACGATGACCACCTTCGCCGAGGTGATGGGTCTTCGATTCAACGAGGAGAAGACCGGCACGACCAAGTTCGTGGCCAAGGATACGGTGCCACGGCCTCATGCACACGCAGCCCCCAAGGAGAAGAAGCCCACCGCTTCTAGCGTTCTGCTGCCCCAAGGGGACATCCGCTGGGGCTTCCTCAAACTCGACCCGGAGGAAGGGCGCTTCATCATCGACCAGGCCCAGGTCGACAGCCACATCAGCGAGCTTCAGCGGCAGCTGGCCTCCTGCAAGAGCATCTTCGCCTGGGTCCAGGCCTGGAACAGCTACTTCGGGCGCTTCTTCGCCAACAACTTCGCCACGCCGGCCATGTGTTTCGGCCGCCGGCACATCGACATGGCCATTGCGACCCTCAACCGCATCGAGCGCACGCTGTTCCCCGACCACGCCAGCGGCGTCACCGACTACCTGCGCCACAAAATCGCCCACCGCTTCCCGGACCACGTGCGCGACCTCCCCGAGGGCTTCTTCTACTTCCCCGTCGAGCTGGGCGGCATCGAGCTGCTGAACCCGTACATCCCGTTCCTGGCGATGCGCGAGAACATCAAGCAGAGCCCGGCCGCGCGCCTGCGCACGGCTTTCCTCGAGGACGAAGCGGAGTACCTGGCGGCCAAGGAGCGGTTCGAGAAAGACGGGCCCCTGATGGGTGATTCCGGCTGGGGCACCTACGGCGGTATCGACGCATCCGAGGGCCCTTCGTCGTCCTCCGCTCTCGCGCTGGCCGAGTACACCCGAAACCCCGAGACGTACAGCCGGCCGCTGCTGCGCGCGTACGAGGACCTGATCCGCGTGCCCGAGGAGGAGAGCGTCGACCAGACGGCGCACTTCCAGCGCCACCAGATGTCGCTGGACGAAGGCATTGAGACGGAGACGAACAAGCGCAAGATCATCTCCGGCGACTGGTGGGCCATGTCGGCGTACTGGCGGTGGGTGGCCGAGCTGTACCACGAGGATATGACCGACCGCTACGGGAATCTGGCGGCCGTCAGCCGCGAGTACATGCCTCTGGGGGTGATTAAGACGCTGAAGGAGGGGAAGTTCCGGTGGCAGAGCTAGCTTCTCTCTCGATAAAAGTCTAATGTTGAATTATCTTGTCGATAGCTTGGTATAAAGCACACTCTCTTTTGTATTTTGGGAACGTCAATCCTTGTAGTTCGCCGCAAAGTCATCTAGGAGTCGGTGCAGGCGCTGTTTCTCTTCCGTAGACCCAAAGATCGCGCCGTACGACTGCCTGCAAAGCCTCAACACGTCCGCCCGATGAAGATGGAAGTGCTCCGCCGCGAGCCGGTACTCGTTCGACACCGGGCTACAGAAGAACCCGACGTCGTCCGTCTGCGCGAGTCAGCACCCACATACCCAAGTACTGTACAGTACAGTACATCCACACCTCCCAAGCAAAGAAACTGAGGGGTAAAGCTAAGGGGACACTCACACACAACACCACCCCACACTGACCCCCTTCATCAGCCCCCAGCCACCACTCCCCAAAATGATGCTCCGCGAACCCGCCCTCCACCATGCCCGCGTGCACATTACACGACAGACACAGCTCCAGCGCACAGCCCTGCCGTTGAATCTCCTTGATCGGCTCGGACACGTGGATCACGTGGCCCAAACGATCCGGTTCGAACGCCAGCAAGGTCCGTAGCTCCTCCTCCTGGTTCTGCGGGTGCAGGTTTGTGGGGATCTCAGCGAAATGCACCGTCACGCCCAGGCCGGCGGCCTTGGCGGCGGCGATGGCGGGCGCGTACTGCGCGATGTTGCCTTTCGTGGGGTTGCCGCAGATGTCGAGGCCGACGACCACGCCCCTGCCTGGACTTTGGGGTTGGGGGTGGGTGCTAGTGCTAGTGCTAGTGCAAGTGCTGGGGCTGGGGCTGGGGCTGGGGCTGGGGCTGGGGGTTGGGGATCGGTACTTGATAGCCAGCTCAACGACCTTCATCGCCTCGCGGGCGGTCATGGTGCCGCGGTCGATGGCGAGGATGAGGTTCGTGGTCATCGTGGCCGGTCCTGAAGCATCCCCTTGCAGGAGTCGTTGCTGCTCCAAACTAAACTCGGCCATCGTCTCCAGTACGGCGGTCAGGTACTCCTCCCGCGTGAACGACTGCGCCGGCGAGGCGCGCGGGATCGTCCGCAGCTCCAGGTAGACGACGCCGTCAGCGGCGAAGTCGGCGAGGGTGGCGCGCGTGGCGGCCCGGATGTCAGAGAGGGTGGTGAGGAGGTGGTAGATTGTTGTGGAGAAGGTGGTGAAGAATCTATGCTTGGAGTTTTAGTATGGAGGCGGCGTATGTTTGTAGAGGCGCAGGAGGCTGGTTAAGTGGATGGTATGTGCGGAAATCACTCGCGAGTTTTGATATTGGGAGATGGGTGTGTGTGTTTCGCTCTTGAGATGGTAAAGGGAAAGGCTGGGAAACGAAACGCACGTCTGCAGAGAATAGTCCACTTTGCCGGGGGGCATCACGACCAGGGGGTCTTCGAGGGTGAAGGTCTTTGGGGATTGGGCTTTCTTCTGGGCCCAGAGCTCGTGGAGGCATTGCCGGCTTATGCTGCCGCTTAGGTGGGCGTGGAGCTGCAGTTTGGAAGTTAGTAGAGTTTCTGGGCTGTTCTGGGGAGGTGAATGTTGTGGATGGTGAGGTGTGGGGTTTGATGGTAGGGAGTGTAGTTGAGGTTCCTCTGAGATCGGTGAACGAGAGGAAAGGATCTCTTGCTTGACTTGCCTCAATCTTGGGGAGAGCTCGAGTAAACCCATGATCGACAGGCTTGGAAAGGTCCATTGAGATAGTCCCGAGCAGCTCAATTGCTCAAGATAGTCAATGGGATGGGTTGTTGTTGACGGGTTGATGATGATGGTGCGGGGCTGATGCGTGCGGAGGCGGGGAGCAGAACAACATTCCGTCGAGGACTGGCGGGGAGAGCAGCTGACTTCAACGATCACGATCTGATTAACTGCCACTTTGAAGTTATCATCTCAAGATCCCCCACAAGAACAGCTCTGATTGTGCTTCACTCGTATCAATGATTCTACTTGCAATACATGAATCATACGCCGTACGATAGCTGAGGAGTGTATCAAGTACTGAGCACACCCGAAAGACCAGCGGGACCCTCTTTCAGTTTCAGATCTCCGACACAGGAGTCCTATCTAAATGTATGCCGGCTTGAAACTACAAGACAAAGCGGGTAGACAAGTGGCGCAAGAGACGCGCAATTCCCGTCCGAATCGAAACATGAAACCAATCGCTGGCATGATATGCCCTAACTAGCGCGTCTCATTGGCGCCCTCTTGAAAGCGGTTCAAGGCGCATTCAACAGCATGGTATGCGGCGTTCTATGCAGGTAATGAACCCCCACGGTGGCTTGAGACTCAATGGGACATAAGCTACTTCTGTCCGTGAGCCGTCTCGCTTAGAGATCTCCACGGGCGGGGGCAGCGGTGTTATCCCACCCCATCGGTCGAGTCAAATGACCAAAGGGAAGTAAGCAGGTTGATTGGACTTCCCTCAAGAAACCTACTTGCGGCATTAATGCCCTCTGTCGGTGGGTATTCCTTGAATTCACACCTCTTTCAGCCAGGGTCCATGGCATCACCCACGCCACACGTGTTGATCACTGAATGGTCTATAGCGTTAAATCTGGCTTGGTGGACGCATAGGGCTTTGCTGCCCTTGCGCAGACGTAGTGCGTCATGTTATTGGGCAACCTGTATCGGCATAGCTCTCCAGAACGTGTCCCACTCGAGTTAGTCTCAATGGTAAAATGTAAGATGGAAACGCGTGCGCCCCAGAGCCTGGTTTCATATAGATGTGCGTCCCTTTATTGGCGGAGTGGCTGGTCATGCTCACAGGGATTGGGGACTAGATGCGAATATTGGGAGATCAGCCCCCGAGAATATACACGCGAAACGAGAGCAAAGAGATACAGAAGAGACTGACGACAACCCTAAGGGCTCAGAGCTAGTGGCATGGCCGGCATCACCCGGCTGGGAGTGGCAGAGTCAAGTATCGTCGGTAGCCCGGGCATACCGAGCCTCGATATGGCCAAGCCCCATGTCGAATCCGGAGCAGCGGAAGGAATGGCAAACAACGCTATGGTAGATAAATGCCCGGAGTGGGCGAATGCATGCAAGACTCCAGTGCCACAGCCAACCGGATGATGCCTGTACGAAAGCGCAAGTAAGCATGACACGTGTCGTGAACTAGCTCTTCAACCACGAAGTACTTGAGGCCAGGAGCACTAGGGAAAGGCCCAAACAGTTAGCATTTCCCGTGTGCTGTGCAGTAGTACAGCGCGAACAAGGGCCGAATCTGATAAAGGACCGACCAGGATGGCCGCGCGCCGTCTGACTTGACGTTGCTTGTGGAGGTGCAGCAAGGCATCACTGACTTGGGAACCGTCCCACGTAGGGCTTTCCACACGTTCACGGGCTTTTCGCTAAATACGCCAGCGCCCCCAGACCACACGGTAATTACTGTAGTTGAAATGGGAAATCGACGGAACGGTCATGCTCCGTACGCTACCGCAGACCCACAGTCGATTCCCACACGACTTACTGTTCACAGCTTCCAGTATCGTATGTCTTGCTTCTCGAAGGACTCGAGAAACAAGATGACCGGCCCAATCGTCTCTTGGAGGTTTCCACCTGGAACGCCCTACGTTATTTTTAGCCATTGTTCATGCTTGGGTCAAAAAGCAATGTCAGTGGACTGAGGGACTTAGTATACGCCTAAGATTAAGAGTGCGATGTGGAAAACGGGTGGGATTTGATCTGTGGCTCGGGTAGACCAAGCCATACCCGAAATGAAGGGCCCTTACTAGGCCCTGATGGCACTCGTTTCAGACGCCTAGTGTCTTCGGTTTGAGAAGGGCGGTTGCCCATACACTGGGAAGGGACAACGTCATTGGTGTCCGGATCGGCGACCTTCATGATGAATGCGATAGAGTATTCATTCCACGATGTTCCTATTGCCATTCCGTATGAATGGTCCCCGTCCAGAGAACAGTCGCGAGATGGTGAGAGAGACGTCGCACAACTGCAACTACGGACCAGGAATAATTTAAGGAAAGGGTGACATCCTCGATTGCCTTATGATTGCATTATCGGAATTCGGCAAGCATAAAGGGGGTTGGCGCTACTCAAGAGCTAAGACTTTTCATTGGCCGATGACAGCAGCATAACTGGGCCTTGGGAATGTCGTTTTGGCATAAGGGAATCGACGTTCCGTCATGATGTCTCCGACAAGGAGGCTTGTGTGTCGTAGTCTAGATCAAGGATACATTGTTGTGGACGCCGCAGCGATGAGTTAGTTGCCACCCCGTTCAGCCAGCCCGGTGCTGTCGGGGGTATGTGGTAGTATCCAGGTCAAGGCCAGGGTAATCACCATGCAATCATAGCTAAAGAACCGAGAGAAACCAGTCAGCATCTGTTCATTGATGGAAGAACAACAATTGAGAAAAGAGCTGCGCCAAGTCGCAATGTCTCAGAACCAGTGTCTCCTTGACTTTGTCAGGCCGTAGGGCAACCCGATGGTGTCACGGTCCCTATTCGCGATCGATCAAGCGTGGAATTGTATCCACCGAGATTGAATTCGTGGTAGCGAGTTCTGTCTACTCGTCTCGTCCAAACGAGGTCCGACCCCAGCAAGGTAGTCAGCATGAGTAGGCCCTCTCTCTCTCTCTCTCTCAAGCTGAGATGACAGGGGAGGTCGAAAAGATGGCGAAGCCCCCGCGTCACTCAATGACGACCGCAGAATCTCGTAACTGACATGCGCCGAGGGGGAGCAAGGGGTGAAGGATGTTTGCTTGTTGCATGGCGCGAGGGAGAACGATTCGACTCCCAGCAAGCCACAATACATTCTTCGGCCGGCGCATCAAAGCTCGATGACGGTCTTGTTGTAATCATGACTAGGGAAGGTACTCGCCGAACGATACCCCGCAGCATAGCACGCATGCCCCGTGCGGTTAGGGAGGATATGATATGGGCGAGGATGGAAGAAGGTTGAAGCATCGAAGACGCATCGAAGGATCCCGGGCTGAACGAGGCCCAAGCTGAATTCCCGGCTTCTTCCTTTTGCCTTCTGCCTTTGGCCTTTGGCCTAAGGCCTAAGGCACGCGCACAATTACGCGGTGGTGCATGCGTGCTTATCTCTCTCTGTTGCTCGGTGGATGATTGAGTGCTCTAAGGACACGCACTGATACAGTACCCCTAAAGTTCATTGACTTTCACCTCTCTAATGATACAATTTTGTCTATTCATAAATGCAACAATAGTTCCAGTCGATTATGCCTGTATGTCCTGTATGCACTAGGAGTAATGGAGGAGTCTCTGACTACACAGTATGGAAGAGCAAATAAGGTACGGCAAATGCTCCTATCGCCAAAGTCAAACCGAGATTGACAAGAACAAAAATGCGGTGTAACGAACGGACAGGCAGGAAACGGCTGCGGTGGTAAATTTTCAGAACCCGCGCTCGTGGTAACGGGTGTACAGTACAGTACGAAATTACCAGGATGACGAAAGAAAAAGGCCCCCAGTCCAGCAGGCGCAACGTTCCATCCAGTTGGGATGACGCTTGGCGGAGATTGAACTGTACGAAGGAAATCTCAGTCATTCCGAGCCAGCACTTAATCTTTTCCTTCTCGATCAGCATACCTACTCATGTCATCGAAGTAGGAAGGGTGTCTGATAGATGGTCTAACATGTACTCCAGTGTCGTTCAATTACTATGAAAGCACTCCCCTGTTGATCCACCTGCCTTCTTTTCGTTACGAGATTTCGTGTACATACGTCATCACTACCTTTAGCGACTAGACTCTGTCCTGACCGTCACAAAGGAGAATCGAAAAATGCGAGCCAACGAGGGGAAACAAAGAGGTCAAGCGATATTAAAGACAAATTACAAGACGAGATCGAGATCCACTGGTAGCCTTCTCCGTGGGACTGTAGGGTTATGCGGCCGTTGACAGCAGCTGGCTTGTCTGGTATCGCGGAAACATGCGGTAGGGGTAACTGTCGATACATACTGTTCTATACCATCCAGTATTTGATACATCTGTGGTACGCTAATTTCAGCGACAAGCTTCCTTTCTATGACAGTATCAAGTATGCTAGTTGAGTCTTCGAGAGTCTTACCTGGGTTCTTGCCTGTTTGTCGAGTTGACATACTTTTCTCATAGTCAGCCTCGCGAGGGTTTTGTCGTTTCAAGTGCAGTGCCAGATTATGCACCATAACATGACTGCATGATGTCATGTCCATTGTGAGGGTGCACCAACCATTCGACCTTGTTTGTGTAGGGGTGTAGGGCATGTTCGCAGTCAAGCTACGGGAGTTAATGTAGCAAGCAAATAGTGCATCCTTCCAGTGCACCGCGGTGTGAGTATGCTTTCACCATATCAGTAGGCCCAAGTCCTAGCTCCAAATGGGATGGGAGGAGTAATGGCTACTAGTCTTATGCATGGGTGCTCTCATGCTTGGGAATGGGGTTGAGCCCATGTCAGTGATCTTTGGGGACCACTGGAGAAAGAACTCAGCCGCAATTGAAACACTACTCCGTACGTAGGCATAGAAGCAGAGATCATCATGAGAGGAAAATAGCGTAACCGTCCACAGACAAGGTAGCTAACTCAATAAGAGGTGACTTTTAGGTAATCATAGGCCATCGAGCTCGTCATCAATGAGTCGAGGTAATTAACTGAAAGTGAGAGAGTTGTGCTTTGTCGGTTATACCGGTACGCATAGTTTTCCATAGTACGAGTATGATCGTAGCATGGGGTGCTCGGGTGCAAGATCACGGCTGAAAGGAGGCCGCCATCGAAGACTTCCAATGGAACTTTTGGAAGCCTGTCAAGAGTGGGTCACCGCCGTTTGGGGGCCGAAACCCCACGATTCATAGATTAAAGAAACAGAGCCCCTCCTCCCCCTTCAAGTACAGTACATTTGTAGGTTAGTGAGTGAGCTCGGTACTGTAAGAGCGAGTGACTGCTTGCCTGAACATGTCGCCCAGTTCAAAACTTAGTGATTCAACCTGTGGATACTCAGTCAACTCGCGAAAAGCATAGTCGTCCATCCAATCAAAACTGCATGACCTCAACACGTGCGGTCAGTTGTAGTAGGATATCATGCTATAGAGATACTAATCATGCACGACGTAGCCATCCCTGGATGGGCATGCCGATATCTAGCTTGGCTGATACAAACCCAGTGTGACGGGAGTCTTTTGCTCGAACGACAGGTCTCCCGACAAGAAAGAAAAGCGAGCCAAATGGTCACGGGTTCGACGATGCCAAACCTTGTCTACCTACCGACTTCGTGGCACGCCAGAGCGCAGTCAAAGGGTGCTCGTATGCCAGCCCACCTGCAGCCCCTCCTCTTCTGCTCCTTGCTTGGGAGAATTAGCACCACGAAAAGAGCCAATTCGGGTTCTTGGATGCCAGATTTTAGTTTCGACCGGAGCAATGGCCTGATCCCTGGACGCGGTTCGGTAGGTCAAGATAAAATCCAGGGAAACGGGAGCGGTCAGACATCACTGACGCACGCGAGACGGCGGCAACCTAAACATGAAAACTTGTCGGAATACACTTTGATCAACATAGTAGTATACATCCCGATGCTGAAGTGAATTCTCGCCGTGCTGCCGCTCTCGAAGATTATGCAAACAAAGTCTGATTGTACAAGCATATCTTGGGTGTATCTCACCGGCTGTCCACGGCGATAAGTTAACTTATCATGTACGGAGATTGTACTTACCTATCTATGCATGCGAAACCAACCCCATTGGCATCACCATCTTTTCGCAAGCAGATACTGTTCCTTGCGTCATAACAGGGCTGAGATCTGTCGAGAAGCTTTGATCCAGTATTGTCCATGAAATACGACTGTCGCAGAAATGTCTTTTCATTTTTTCTCCCGCTATAACCGCGACGTTGAACACGCACGAAGCTCTGATATGAAGTCAACAAATGATCAGTCTGGCATCATGGCGTGCTAGATCTTGCGGCTCCTTTTGGCTAGTCTTGTACTTGATGCGTTGGGGTCGCACATAGTCATGTGCAACGCAAGATCCAATCCTCGACCTACCTAGATCACAGTGTATTTGCTGAAATCAACCGTACAGAGTCAACGAGAAAGCAAGACATGAGTGTCATGGTTGCCGGTTCTGTGGGTGAGTGGACATGCATTTCCACGATCAATGGCGATGAACTGCTGTCGCTCCCGATCGACGGGAGACCTGAAGAAAGTCCAGTCGATCACCCCGCATTTACTGCAACGGGGTTAAGTAGATTTTACCTCCAGACAGTCCTCGTCTTCTTTCCTCTCTAGAAAAGTCACTGGCTCCACCCAAGATCAACAATTGTTGGTGTTTTTTATTTCCAAGCAACAATGTCAATCTCTACAGCCCCTTCATTCATCCCACAGAGTACCCTAGAGCAAGGTGCGATAAGAGATGAAGTCTGCCTGTAGATCGTGAACTAACTTACCAGCCACAATTGAAACGAACACGTGATGGAATGTGTTTCAGTCGAGGATTACCCTTTTCGGCGACAGGGAATGGGACAAAGTCGGAGCCGACTCAGTATCACTCACTAGTACTTGCCGGCTCACGTCTGACCGCTATTCTGGAGCATAAGGCCCCTAGTACTCGCCTGCTCCTACTTGTTATGTCCCAATGGTCACTATGAGGTGTTTCAACAAAGCCACTGAGTACAGCCAAATGACCTGCAAAGTATGTTTTGTGTTGTCGAAACCATTGCGCAGCAATCGTCCACCGGCAAACATGACTACAGTAAGTTAAGCAATGCAAAAGTTTCGGTAGCACATACATGCAATCTAGTCAAAGACCCGTCTCAGCTTATTGTACACTACAGAAGACTAGGCAAGTCAAATTGCCTTGCCTCAGGGTCCAAGAAAGTAGGCAGCCAATGCTTGAGTTGCGTGATTGTTGACCTTTGGTGATCATCGCACCTTTGTAGTAGATGATGGACTTGCACAACTGGACAACTTAGGAAGAGTATTCCCTGCCAACGTACTGGCTAACAAACAACCAATAACTTAATCAAGGGCTTAGCAATGTTTGTTCCGTCAAATCTTGTCATATATTGCAGTCTTTTGATTGTGATTATCTCCCGGTGGATATCGTAAGGACCAGTTAAGGTTCAACTATTGTGTATCATATAAAATGTGTGTCCACTTTGCAGCCCCCTTTCCCCTTGCTGCACCGCCTGGAGTTGGTGGTGGTGACACTGCCACTGCCACTGCTCCAGCCTCCAGCCCCAGCATTCCTCCCAGCTCAGGCGTGTAACGATTACCACAGATGGATTAGCGCCCATTCCCTGCTTTCCCCCGCGTTCACCCTAGGGCTGTTGTCGATGATGACTCAATCAAATTCCCGCCCGCCCGCGACATCCGTGATTACTCAGTCGTGAGTATTTACTTTGCTTTCCCGGTCACGATACCAATACATACAACGGTTTCAAAACATTCTTGCGCCCGATACATAACTTGCGAATTTAGGGACTGGAACCCCACAATGATGTCCAGTAGGGATGAAGCGGCACCGGCCGTCATCTTCTTAGGCGATTTTCCCCTTATCCTCATTCCCCCTCCTTTTCTTACCTCCTATGAGGCTATGACTCCTAGAGGTAGAACGAGGGGGCCGGACGACTTTTCAATATGGGTCGGAAACTGAAAGAAAACGGAAATCATTCAGTTTTTACTAGTTACTGCTTTGCTCCTTTGCTCACTACATGAGTGTCAGGTGACAAATATCCGATAGTCGGAGACGCAGCTTATTTGTCGGCTAGGAAGCAATAGTCCGTGGATGAAAGAGCTTCGCACATTCACCGCATGCAGCATTGGCCAGAAAGTCTCATAACCTCATCGGTCGACAAGACAAGGATACCTTGAGTCCTGTAGTAACTCCGTAGTAGGTTCAAGGTTCGCCGTTCGCTTGGCGGAACGAGGAACGAAGAGGGGAGAGTAAAGCAGGCAGGCTCCACACAAATCCCCCCAGAAGGACCGCTGTGTCGGTGCCCTAGGAAAAGAAAAGAAAAACCAAAAAAAAACCAACCAACAATTTGTAACATCATATTTCGTGATAGCTTGTACATGTAATAGTGCATGTGGATCGACGGTAAGGCATGCTTCCGTCTCCTCATAATTCCATAGTATCAAGTCATACCCGTTGCGACTATAGACCTTGTAGGCTTGTAGGCTCTCGTAGTGCAGCGCAGGTGGGGACTAACTCCGTACTCCGTCGCGTATCGATTTCCCTGGTGGAGATTCATTGTCTCTCTTCTTCCTGAACCCAAAGACGATAGCTGTGCCCACTTGGAGCTCCATAGCAACTGATAATTCCGGCTATCAACTTCCCCTTTTCTTCCAGAAGACAGCGAATGTTGGGGTGGAAGAATGTGAAACCAATCTTCCTGTCAGCATCGGCGATGCGCAGGATTGATAGTGGTACCCATCGAGGAATGATCGCCCAATACTTCAAGGCTGTTCGCTGGGCAGGCTGATCTTCTTCGCTGGAAAATAGTTCAAGGGAAATTCGAAAGAAAAAATCAAACCAACCGGGATGAGGATCAGGTAATGGAGTTTCTTTCTTGGTTGACAGACTATGGGCTCTGAGGTATCAAGTACAGCTCACAACAAAAGTGAAGCAAAAAGAAACATTGGTTGGCTTTTCTCCGCATTATCAGTGTTCAATCGTGACAGGGAAAAGACCAAGGAGCCTGATAGGGCAGGAGGGGGGGAGGTTGGAAAGGAGATAAGTGAAAGGGGGTACACAGATGGCCTCTCAGATGATCTCATGATCATGCCTGCTTGCTTGGTCTGAATATTGTTCCTTGGGCTGCTGTCATGATGTATCATGGTGAACAGCTCAGTCAACCCCTCAACCCCTCAGACCCCCAGTCTTAGCAAGAAAAGAAGAAAAAAAAAAGGTGCCCAGCAATATTTATCGGCCCATTTCAATTAGACTATCAGCATACCTGAATTCGAGAGTCTACTACCCCTTCCCTAATTTACCTTGTAGTATTTAGGGCATACAAACCTCCCTTTCCCCATCGCCTGGCTTGTTGTTCCATTCGAAAGAAAACGGCATTTGAACTTAACTTGCTTGTTTCCAATATAAGTTTGGGAAGAGCCGAAAAAGCAAAGGTCTGGCCAAAAGACATTCCATCTTTACCGCTCAGGAAAACGCCTCTGTTATCATCACTCCCTCCCATCATCATTACTTATCCTGATCTTATATCATCATTACCTGTCAGCTTCACTGCGTACCTCAAGGCCAAAGCGGTGTATTTTTCAGACCTTGCTGATTGATCTGACGGGGATTAGTTTCCTCTAGTTCTTTCGCAGATTGAACGAACTAGGCTAAGACAAGTACTTGGGAAACGAGTGACTCGCTCAGCTTGTCCTCCACTTTGTTCCTTGTTTTTCTGGAAATCATTTTTTCCCACTGCAATTTTCCCAATTGTGGATTACGCCAGGGTGGAAACCAATCTTAAATTTTCACTGGTGGACAAGGCTCATACGGGTATCAGAACGTGTGACAGTACAACAAATACCAAGTACCACACACAGTACGTCAGAAAGTACCCACTCCAGCTTTCTTTCAATTGAAACATCCAGCGGGTTCTTCGAATTCGACCTTCCAAAATCCTTCCCCCCGAAAGTTCTCCCTTGTCTGTACGACGCCGCAGCAATTCGCGTGGATGGGAGATTCTTAAGAGGGCGAAAGTTGATTCCCACTCAACAATCTTATTCAACCTTTCCCACCACCCCCCCCCACCACCACCCTTACTACCACTACCACTACCACTACCACCATCACCATCACCAACCATCACCAACCACTCCCCTTCCATTCAAATCCCTCCTTCTACAACCCTTCCGTCCTCTTCCCCGACTCGCGCAAGTGCAGTGGAATCCCCCTAAACGAAGGAACAACGCTGGCACGGTTTCCTCCGTCGCATGATCATCAATCAACTCTTACTCACATCCTGGCGCTCTTTCGCTGCAGGTCCTCTGCTACACTCCACGTAACCGTGCAGGAAATTGGAAAAAAGCTACACTTCGGTCCGCACTAGACAACCGCAGCCTTCACGACTTCCCTTGTCGGTCCAATCTCCGATTGCTCACATTATCGCCCTTCCCCTTTGGACCACCTGCATCACTGCGCTGGCAGGCAATCCTGCATTTGCAGTTCCGATCCTCGTCGCCGATACCCTTACCCTTTCGCGGTCTGCCTTAGTTCGCTCCCCAGTAACGCCCAGCCGACGCAAAGCTCAATCCCTCCCATTACCGGCGCCTGTACAAGCTACCCTGTGGAGGGGCTCTGCTGACAGCTAAGCACATGCGCAGCGCACACGGCTTTAACTTGCATAATACTCGTTTCCATTCTAAGCGGTCATCGGCCCTCCCCCTGTTACCAAACAGGATACAGCCTTGCTCGCCATCCCCGATCTCGCCCAATTGGCCCAGCTCCGCACGTCCTCCCATTCCTGCTGCAGAGTACAGCTTTCCCCGCGCATCAGGAGATCGGCAATTTTGAAGAGGGGCCTGAATCCGGATTCAGACACAGAAAGAAAAGCGGAGATCAGAAACGGGGCAAAATAAAACGAGAAGGCACCCAGGGAACAGGATATTCCCTGGTTTCGAAAGAACAAAAAAAACCCTCAGGCGAAAGATTATTAGCCGGCGTCAAGT